TAGTATTAGGTAGTAGCACCACGCCCGTAAAAACCGATTTCCCGGGTCGGATTTTACAATTGTGGCGGGCTACACTATTGTGTTCCGGCAGCGGGATTTTACAATTGCGGCGGGAATCACTAATGTGAAGTCAACATTATGCGAAAAGATGCCGCCTCTAAAGTGAGTGAATGTGGCGCGGGGCGTTGCAGATAAGCAGGGGGGTTGGGGGGACTCTGCTTGTGGGACAGGTAGGGGGACGGGTTTCGCAGATAAGCAGTGCGACAGGTTTTGCAGATAAGCAGGAGGGTTGAGGGGGCTGTGCTTGTATGAGAGGTTTCACAGGCGTTGCAGATAAGCAGCGGACTTGAGAGGACTGTGCTTGTGTGATACGTAGGGGGACGGGTTTCGCAGATAAGCAGTGCGACAGGTTTTGCAGATAAGCAGGGGGGTTGCGGGGACTGTGCTTGTATGAGAAGTTTCACAGGCGTTGCAGATAAGCAGCGGGCTTGAGAGGACTGTACTTGTGTGATACGTAGGGGGACGGGTTTCGCAGATAAGCAGTGCGACAGGTTTTGCAGATAAGCAGGGGGGTTGAGGGGACTGTGCTTGTATGAGAAGTTTCACAGGCGTTGCAGATAAGCAGCGGACTTGAGAGGACTGTGCTTGTGTGATACGTAGGGGGACGGGTTTCGCAGATAAGCAGTGCGACAGGTTTTGCAGATAAGCAGGGGGGTTGAGGGGGCTGTGCTTGTATGAGAGGTTTCACAGGCGTTGCAGATAAGCAGCGGACTTGGGGGGACTGTGCTTGTGTGACAGGTAGGGGGACGGGTTTCGCAGATAAGCAGTGTGACAGGTTTTGCAGATAAGCAGGGGGATTGAGGGGACTGTGCTTGTATGAGAAGTTTCGCAAGCGTTGCAGATAAGCAAGGGAATTGAGAGGACTGTGCTTGTGTGACAGGTAGGGGGACGGGTTTCGCAGATAAGCAGTGCGACAGGTTTTGCAGATAAGCAGGGGGGTGCTTGTATGAGAGGTTTCACAGGCGTTGCAGATATGCAGGCGACTTGAGAGGACTGTGCTTGTGTGACAAGTAGGGGGACGGGTTTCGCAGATAAGCAGTGCGACAGGTTTTGCAGATAAGCAGGGGGGTTGAGGGGACTGTGCTTGTATGAGAAGTTTCACAGGCGTTGCAGAGAAGCCAGGGAATTGAGAGGACTGTGCTTGTGAGGGGGACGCAAAGGGGCAGGTTTTGCAGATAAGCAGGGGGGTTGAGGTGGCTGCGCTTGTATGAAAGGTTTCACAGGCGTTGCAGATAAGCAGGGGGGTTGGGGGGACTGTGCTTGTGTGACAGGTAAGGGGACGGGTTTCGCAAAAGGCAGAGGGGCTGTGCTTGTATATCCCCAGATAAGCAGGGGGGTTGAGGGGACTGTGCTTGTATGAGAAGTTTCACAGGCGTTGCAGATAAGCAAGGGAATTGAGAGGACTGTGCTTGTGTGACAGGTAGGAGACGCAAAGGGGCAGGTTTTGCAGATAAGCAGGGGGGTTGAGGTGGCTGTGCTTGTATGAAAGGTTTCACAGGCGTTGCAGATAAGCAGGGGGGTTGGGGGGACTGTGCTTGTGTGACAGGTAGGGGGACGGGTTTCGCAAAAGGCAAAGGGGCTGTGCTTGTATATCCCCACATAAGCAGGGGGGTTGAGGGGACTGTGCTTGTATGAGAAATTTCACAGGCGTTGCAGATAAGCAAGGGAATTGAGAGGACTGTGTTTGTGTGACAGGTAGGGGGACGGGTTTCGCAAAAGGCAGAGGGGCTGTGCTTGTTTGACAGGTTTCCAGATAAGCAGGGCGGTTGGGCGGACCCTGCTTGTATGATAGATTTCGCAGATGAGCAGGGGTTGGGGGGACTGTGCTTGTATCACAAGCCGGCCCCCCCTACCTGTCCAGGGAACCAGCCCCTAGTTCTCAATTTCGGGATTAGGTCGAACTTTAACTTTAGCGTTTGGAGCTTGTGGGGGTTAAGGTTTTAAAGTTTGGGATTTAGGGATTCAGAGTTTAGGGTTTTGGGATTTAGGGTTTAGAGTTTAGAGTTGTGAACTGCACCTGTTCGCTTGCAATGCTACAGCAACATTTTACACCTCCTTTTTGAAGCTCTGTGTGTTCGGCAAAGGCTGAAAAAAAGACATTCCGGGGTCCGGAAAAAGAAGCGGGGTCGGTCACAAGACGCTGCGGGGTTGAGAAAAAGACGGTCGTTCCTTCTTTGACGGCTGCGAACAGGGTCGTCAAAAAGACATTTGTTTTTTTTGGGCCCCGTAACGAGGCCTGGAAAAATACCGAGGCCAAAAAAAGGACTTTCCGGGGTTGAAAAAGGTCGCGGGGTCGGAAAAAAGACATTCCGGGGCCAGGAAAAAGAGAAGCCCCTTTTTCTCCTGCCAAAGACGGGTGGAAGAATAATTCTCTTCTTCTCAGGCTTCGAAGACATGGGGGGGCTGCGCCCCCGCCAAATCCCCCCCCTCCCAGAAAGCTCCTCAAGTGCGGCGGGGTGGTTCCGAATTTTCTCAAGCCCCTTCGAGAATTATTTTCAAGCCCCCCTTCGAAGCCCCCCTTGAACGAATTTGAGGAAACCCCCCCTTCTCAAGCCCCCCTTGAAGCCCTTCGAAGCCCCTTCAAATTCAATTTGAGAATTCTACAGCTTATAATTCTCGAAGGGGGCTCGAAGTCCCTCTCAAGCCCCCCTTGTTCGTCCTGATGGACGTTGTTCAACCGACATGGACCCCCATGGACGTTTTGCAGCCGTCATGGACCCCGTGGATGTTTTGCAACCGTCATAGCTTTTTCTGTACCTGAAAATGTTTTTCTCGTTTTGTCGGGGAGCCGGTCGTTCCACCCCTGTTGCTGAGCAGACCCCAAAAAAATAGACCAAGTGAGTCTTTGACCGCTCTCGAGCGGGAGCTGCGTTTTTAGAATTTATAGTCGTAAGTGAGTTTAAACGAAGTCAGAAGTCAGAAGATTTTGTAGTCACAAGTGAGAAAAAAAACAGTCACAAGTGAGAAGATTTTATAGTCACAAGTGAGGGGTTGGCCTCGGAAATCGATCTCTTCGGAACTCCCCGGCTCCTGAGACTGCTTTCGCGGCCCCAATAATTAAATCGGAGAAAACTCAGCCGCAAATGCTCAGCATCTTTGGTCTCTTGCTGTTCACGGTTACTCAGGAATCCCACAAGCAGCCCCAAATGCTGGGCCCCTCTCTTTGATCCCAGCGCAGGAACCTGCCTGCCTGCCCACTTCAGATGCAATCCCGCCGCAGCACCCAATGGCCGTGGTCACGAATGCCAGTTGTTTGATCCCAGCTGCTGCCTGATCATCGCCAGTTACGCAATTTGTTGCTTTTCGGAATGGACGCCGCCACGCGCAAGTTGCATAGCCCGGCCACGCATGTCCGAGCTTGAGCTTTTCGTGAGTGGCATGCAGGGCAGTCACGTTCCGCCGCATTACCATGGAGGCATTGTACACCCGGCCTCATGTTGAGTTTTGATTCAGTTGTCAAGAACTCCACCAGATGCTCGGAATATTAAAGCTCAGGTGGTTTGTGGCTGCTGTGGGGTTACTGGAACTGAAGTATGTTGACTGAGTGACTGTGTCTAGTCGAATCTAGTCCACCCCCCCTCGCCAAAATCCTGGGCTCTAGACTCCATGGACTTTACGGGGCTACGGAGCTGCGCAATGTGTGCTGTGATCCCTTGACAATCGCGAGTTTCACAGAATTTCATGGAGTTGGAATTGCAAAAAAATTTTTCCGAATCCTTTCTGCCCAAGCTCGTCGTCCATCCTTGGGGCGGAATTGCGGGGAGCAGAGCTGCGCTTTTGGAGCGAAGCGCCCAGATGGGTCTGAGCTTTACTGAAATTTGATGTGTTCAGATGTTGCACCTGATCTCTCACTTGTTTTCTCAGTGCATCGTCTTATTCGGAGTTTTCGCGTGCCATGCGAACTTCGTAGAACATGTAGAGAGCAAAGTCACAGACAGAGTGCCAGAACGCACGGGATTTGTGCCTTTCGGTGTCTAACCCGTGGGAAACGCGTAGGAAACCCAGAGGACACCCATAGGAAACCCACCGGAAACACAACCCGTCGTAGAGGGAGCCCGATTCACCCTTTTGGGGAGTTACAATAATGGGGCATGGGAGGGAAGGCTGTTCCCAGTATTGGGCGGTTTGCAAAGAGTCATACCAGTAGGCAACAACAGGAAGGGTTCGTAGGAGATGAAGTACATTGATCCGACGGATCAATTGGCGTCATACAGCATATACGAACATCCTACTCATGGGGTATTGACAAATCCTGTCTACCGTCGTCGTGTTTGCAAGTTTGTTCCCTGAATGTGTGGTCAGCTGCGATGCGCTGCGGCCGTCTTTCGAACTGTCGACCTAGGTCTGGGCCAGTTCTGGGCCCAATGTCGCTGGGCTGGGGCATGCCCTCGCGCCATGGCCAGCATCCTTTAGTTCACGACAACAGTGAGAAAACACTGAGGACACTGCTTGGCTGTGGGAGTGTTTGACTGGGGTGCTGTGGCCATTCGTTCATCGTGGCCTAGGGATCTTGAGAAGCGCGCCCTGGGCAAATTGCTGGAGGCACGCTGATTGCATGCATGCGAATTACCCGTACATCTACATATGCGTTGTGGCCCCTTCGTGCTGCAGGTTCCTGTTTGGCCTCCCGGCTGCAGCTGTGGCATCGGTTTAGCTGACAACTTCTGAACCTGAACCCAAAGCCCTGAGCCCAAAAACCCTACTAGTCCGCAGTACTTGGCAAGTTCTCAAGGCGGTCAACCGGATCGGACAGTGAAGTGTGATGCTCATCTGAGGAGCAGTCCCTCCACAGTTGTGCCCGACAATTCCTCCATTGTGTTGTCAGAGTCAGATCCTGTGGCTTCGCTGCACGAAATACTCAGAGCTCAACGTCCTTGGCAGTTGCAGATTCAATGCGGTCCGAGGGCCGCGTATCCGATGCATGTCCAACACAAACCTGCATGGAGGCTGGTCCACAGTTCCCCCCCTCGGTTTTGCCCTGTTCCCGGCCTGTTGCAGGTTGAGACTTGCAGTGGTGCGTGCGAGATGCTGCGACTGGGTGGCAGCTCCAAAGAGAGATGGGATAGTTTCGGCATGCACAAGTCACAAGTAAGTGCAGCGTTGCTGCTATGGAAGTACGCTGAGGCGCGACCATCTGCAGAACAGCCAGGAGATAAACGCTGGAATTGCTGAGCTTCGCAGCAAGCCATCTAGCTGCACGCGTCATTGTGACTACTCTTGCTGCATGTCATGGTGCTGTGAAAAAGATGGACTGACTGAACTTTGTCCCTAAATCTGCGCCCTGCTGCACACTAAACGTGAACATCGAGTTTAGCAGCAAACTACATCTATATATGTGACCCGCAAGCTGATGTGGGAGGTTGCTCCTATCGAATGCTCAGGTTGGACTTTGTGATCAAGGCTTTGCAGTCGACGACAAGGAAGAGGCATGGTGACAACTGCCAGCCTCAAGAAGTGGTGTGCGCGCAGTTTGCCAATTTGCAACTCACAGTTTGGTGAAAGTTTGGTGTCACAATGTGGGAGGTCCCAGGCCTTCTCCCTGAAGCACGCACGCAAGCTGAGCAGCGGCGCTCGCTGCAAACGTAGGCTGCGTCCCAAGCTGCCGAGGGCATCAGTGAAATCAAGCGCGGTCTGGAGTGCATGAGGAGGTTCTTCAAAATTGGCATTGCAGGTCCCTTTTTTTGGGTCCTTACAAAACGGCGTCACCTATACTGTTTAGGGCACCCAAATAGGGACCATGTTTTTGGACAGACCCCATGAGCCCAAGTCGCAACAAAGACGCGGCATGATGAACTGGCGAGAAAGCTGAGGCCTTAATGCAACCGTTGAAGTATCTAGGTCCCACTCTGCTAGCTCAGCCATGCAAAAGAACATTTTGACCCTTACGCCATCATTTTCATTCAGGAGCACCCCCGCAAGGGGTCCCTGGCGCGGCGGGGGGGGGGGGGGGGGTGGGGCGCCATTGAACATAACGTGCGACATGTCTCATGCGCAATGCAAACCTCCGGCGTAGTAGGATCTGACCTCCTCTGTTCCACCTTTTTTCACTTTGTGAAGGGATACAACGCAGTGACAAATGGAAGATGAAAATTCTACTTGGAGGGAGGGTCAACTGCCATCAACGTTGCCAAGGAAGCATGGAGGCATTGGAGGCATTGTGCTGGAAGAGTGCCCGTTGAAGACGGAGCTTCGAAGTATTGGGGGTGGGGGGAGTTCCTTTCGAAGCGTTAAATACGTTACGTATTTGTTATGTAGGTTTCATGGGAATCGTCTTGGGGGTATAACCCTGAACCCTAAACCCTACAACCCCGAACCCCTCTGAAAACCCCAAACACTGATTTTGTGCAACACCCACATCTTCAGCGACCTTTTCTCACCCAGTCCACCCTAAAGATTCCTTACTATGGTACCTTGTCCCTCTGACCTTGCAGTTCAAGAATGATGATTTACCGAGCTTTGTTTTCCCGCGTGTTTCTTGTGTCTCTTGAAACGACATAGACACTCTAAAGAAGCTGCAGGACAGCGAGCCGTCACAGATCGAGCCTTGCACACCGCAGCGGCGCCAGGCACTGGAGATCCCGAAAGAGGGGGGTTGGGCCGGGTTGGGGGCGTGTTTTCTGGGGTGCTACAGGACCCTTCAGGGGCCTGGCAAGTTTGTTCTTTCTCACAGCGCAATGATTTGAAGCTGCTAGGGGCGAGTTGATGATGAAAACGGGACTTGGCATGAACTTCGGCATGAGGATGGCCCTTTTGATTGCCATAATGTCGACAAGTCCCAGGGGCGCATTCCAGCTGACAGCACGCCGGAGAAGGTGGTTGGGGCCCCGTCCGAGTTGTTGACGTTTTGACTTGTTTTGACGTGCCGGTTCAAGGGCTGCCATGTCTTGAGGCCAAACCTTTGCCCAGCTGGCCCCAGGCCGGGCGTTCCACTTTGTGCCCCTTGAATCTTGAATCCAATGTGCATCTCTCTTACGCCTGCAGGATGTTTAGCGGCTTAGCCTCCAGGGTTTAAGGAGCTTTAGGGTTTAGTGAAAAAAGCTGGCGTGGAGAACAGGTCCCCAAAATCATTAAGCGTCCTCCGAGACTTGTCGCGAAACAGGGAGTCGACTCACAACATAGGATGCGCCCACATGGCGCCATGGCATGTCAACATGATGGTCTACAGATCACCGCTCTTCGATCCCCAATCTCTGCAGGACAGGTTCTCTGACGGATGCTGTGCTGAGCACTACAATTTGGAGGCGTGAAGGGCAGCATGCGACCATGTCTTGTAGCGGCGTCGACCGGACAAGTCTATAGGAGGACTCGCAGGCGGTGGGCACTCCGCCAGTGCCTCAGTGCGTGGCTCCTGCAGTGCGGCGCGTTGCAAAGACATGAGCCATGCGAGTCAGGCATCACGACATCGAGGAGGAGTATTCCATGGCCTGGCAGGCCACGGAGAAATTAGGAAGGATGACGTACATGTTTTTGCATGCGGCGATGACGAATTTGAGGGGGGGGGGGATTGGTTACGACCATGATATTCTAACCATGCCCCAAACTCCGGCGTTTGCTGCACCAGGATGTGTGACGTTTCTCGAACGAGCCGCACTGTCACAAACCTTTTGCGGACAGCGTGTTTGCCCTTTATAGAGTATATTGCAAGAGTATGTTTGCTGTTTCTGCAACCAGACGTGCTGTCACAAGTGTTCATGCACAAGGTGCTCATGCCTTTTTGCGAACTTTACAGAAATAATTGTCTGAGTGCATCGCAACAAAACGACATGACAACTCGTAAAATCCCGACGCTTCGCAGACACCCTCAAACATCGGCCTTGTTTGTAAGCAGCCAAAACAAGCATTTCACCTAGGCCAACGGCTTACTTTCAAAAAAGATAGGGTACGGTTTCGACGGCGGTGGGATATTTTTGTTACTGATATTGTTGTTGTTTCGGACCAGAATGCCTGGATGAAAATACCTTTGGCCAGGCGCGCAGAAAACTTGTGCATGTTTGCGCATCAATGTGCACTGCCTAGAAAACCCCCAGAACAAATCGAGCTTTGCGACAGGTGTGCGCACGTGAATTTGGTGAGGGCACGATGCCAAACATAAGCGTGACGACAGTTTTGCACTTCTCGGGCGACGTGGGTGCAGGACAGAGCAAGGGCGTGATTTCGAAGACCATGAGGAAGTGATAGGACGTGCGAAGCGGCTCACGCAGCTAACTGCGTGGAGTGCACGCCGGGGGTAAGCACGATCTGATAGATGTAAACACCGTCATGTGTGTCATGAAAACGAGATAACCCGAGGCCAAGAATCAATAGGCATGGCCCCCCGAGAGCCGATTTGTATGCTCGCCTCACCTAGTTTGAGGTGAGGTCGACAAACTACAAACCATTTCAAAAGTCGAAGAAAGGAAGAAGCAAGCCTACAGGAGCACGACAATTCCCTTCAAAACCCTTGTAATCAAACTGGAGCCATTTGGGCATTGTTACCGAGAGGCTGAGATGGCTAATGGCGCCGCGGTGGAAGCCAGCGCCACGGAGGCGAACCGTGCAACGGACCAGCATTGACCAGCATGCCCTTAGCATGAGACATGTCTGTTCGAGGAGCTCACGAGCGACCCGTTCCCAGCTTTGCACCTTGGTCATCATGCATTGTGTTTTTGGTGATGGATGGGGGGAGGGGGCAGTGTATGCTTCTTTCGGGTCCTGCACTTCCAAAAGGGAGCAAACCTAATTTAATGTATTAGCCGCGGTTCTGCAGATCGCTTCCCGGTGCAGGGATCGGCTTCTGTCCTGCTTTTCGGCAACATCACGGCCAGACCCTCTACAGACTCTAGAGACTCTAGAGACTCTAGAGACTCTAGAGACTCTAGAGACTCAGAGAGACTCCAGACTCTAGAGAGACACTAGAGAGACTCTAGCTAGAGACTCTGGAGGCCTTCTTGGATGTTGGAGTCTCGGCTCGATGCTTCAAGAAGCTGCCCCGAGGTCGGAATAGGTTTCAGTCCAGTCAGAAGCAATGACTGCCCCCTACAGGGTCCATGTACCGAAAGACGCGAAAACTTGGGGGCTTTGCATCTTAAGAGTGCTTCTTGTAGTGGGACTTTGGGGATTTGAGATTTGCAACCCCAGGGCAGCGACCCACTCAAAGGCTCCCGAAGCCTTTGGCTCTCCCCCTAAACGGTCCCTACGGGTCGTGCCATGGACTCCTGCACCTAGGTCTGATTTTTCTGGATGGATTCTGGACTGGCTCTCGGTGCCTGGACGCTTTGGAGTATGGCATCAGTCCTCCATTTTTTTTTGAGGGGGGTGTGTTTGACCATTACTACCTGGAACCACTGGGTGGCTACTCGAGGAGTCTTGGGGATTGGGGGACTACGAAGGATGCTTATATCTGTGCGCCTCAATTTCTGCAAGGCCAAGCACGCCCCTACATCTGAGGATCTAAATCCCGAAACTACCCTAAACTGGGACAGTCTCTTGACCTAGAAGAGAGCCCTGAACAGGCACAGCAAACCAAGAGATAAACAACTGAGGTGGGAGACATCAAAAACCTCCGCGAGACCTCCGGGATTGTGGTGAGCAACCAGGCGCGCTACTGTATGATTGCATGGCTCCTACACGTGCATGCCTAAGGGTGCGAGATTTGCCTTACATCCAGTGGTCCAGCCAAAGATGTCAGTCTTTTGTGTCATTTAATGGGCAGGTTGTTACATTGTTGAGTTAGTCGGCAGGGGAAGGCGGAGGTCGGAAAGAGGGTCGGGGCGGGTGGGAAGGGACTGGGTATCCTGGGTAGGGTGACATGAGGAGTCTAAGATCCGGTCCATATGAGTTCGAATCCAGGAAAGTCCGGTGTTGGACAGCCGTGCTCCTGGCGTGCCGCGCCGGGGGGGGTACCCATGCCACAATAAACATCGCTGCACGGGTCCTGGAAGGAGGATCAGGTGCTGGGAATGCTACCTCGCCGGATTATGGCAGTCATGTCTTTGAATCGTGCTTCGTTTCCTTTGGGTGTATGCTTCGGAATGTTGCCGTGGGCAGGTCTTGCTTCAGCACATTCTGGACACCAGCAGCTGGCACAGGCGAAGTTTATCCTCGTTTTGTGCATCACGTGAATCCCGTGGCCAATGAGCATCACAGCACTCGAGTCTTCTGTGATATTGACGCTAGCGAGTCTCTACTGAAAAGAGTTTGTCAGGGGGTTATGGGGGCTCCCGAACGCCTGCAGGGTTCGTAGGACCTCTGAGCGGATGGTGACGTCATGACCCGCCCGGCTGGAAGCCCCTCGGAGCCTGGGCTCTCTCGACTCCTAAACGTCCGGACTTCCTTTGAACCGTTGGCTCGTGCGACCGCTCCTGGGAGGCGCCTCCTGGGAGGGTTCTGGGCTCAGTGAACTAGACATGTCCTGGCCCTTTGGGCCCTGGGCATCTGCGCCCCCACGCAGTCTCCCGCGCACCGTCAATGACTGCTGGGGGGCGTGGGCCAAAGTTGTGGGACTATGCGCCCCAAACAGCCAGTGCAGTGCCCAAGGGAGGGGGAAATGGAGATCGGTTAACGCCGGCCTGGGGCCTTGACGGGATAGTGGTCGTAGTAATGCCACGGTCATAGTTGCAGTCATTCTAGTCGAAGTTGTGGATGCCCTCTCGTCTTCCTGAGTGCAGGCCTTCTTTGGCCCTTTCCTTCGCAGAGATCAAGGAGCAGCAGGAATGCCATCGCCGTCGTCCAGACCGCTACGACGAAGAGTTGCATGACAACAAGATCTTTTGCTGCTGCTTGCCCGAGAAGTTCATCCCTTTAAGACTGTGCGCTTCGTGATAGCAAGTCTGCGACAGCTCTTGTGGGAGATGTGGTTTTTTCTTGCTGTTTGCCTGGAACCAGAGTCGCCTTTGCGGTTCTCATGTTCGCGTGACGGGGTGTTTGGGGTGAACGTTCGTGCGATGGGGTGTTTGGCGTGCACGCACTTTCGTGTGACGGGGCATTTGGGGAGAGCATGGTTGCAAGTTCGTGTGACAGGGTATTCGGGGGTGCACGTTCGCGTGACAGGGCATTTGAGGTGCACGTTCGCGTGATGGGGCTTCTGGGTACACATTCGCGTCACGAGGTGTTTGCTTGACTGGCTGTTTGGGGTGCACGTTCGCCTGACAGGGTGTTTCGCTTGACAGGGTGTTTGGGGTGCACGTTCGCTTGACAGGGTGTTCGGGGTGCACGTTCGCGTGATGGGGCGTTTGGGGTTGACACTGGTTCTGTTGTCTTCCTTCACATCTCGCCAACCATGCATACGTTCCACATCTCCTTTCGCCAAGGTAGTTTCCGACATTCCTGTGGGGTGGGATGGGGGTCTCTACTGGGTGGATTGGTTTGTCAGGGCTCGAGCGTGATTGCCTTGTTTGTTGTTGGAGAACCTCCTCGTGTCTGGATCCAAGGTCAAATCTGGGTCCTGTTGCTGGCCGGCTACAGAACAGAGACACGCTTCCCGCAGTCTGAGGTTGTCACGAGGTTTCATTCATTGATACCGGCAGTTGCCATGCACTGTTATGATCTTGACCCCAAATTGTGTCAAGCGGGCCACTCAATTCTGGAGTCGCTCGCGCTGCAGAACACATCTTATATCCACCGTTTGATTTCAGATTGCATGATAGAGCTTGTGGAGTCCATGCCGGAGGCAGCCAGTGATCTTCTTTCTAGCACGTGGATCCGCAAAAAGCGAGCCTGTGAGCACTTGACACGGACAGCGGCTTCCTTGCGACCTCAGCAGCGACAGCGGTGGATGTCACGGCTGCAGCAGATTATCACCACGGAGCATGTGATTGGGCACCAGGTATCCATGATTGAGCTTCTACATCACCTTTGGACGGTTGATGCGGCGCCTTTTATGACTTACAAGGACAATGCTCGTGTCCTTGCCCGTTGGAGCACTACAGCGGCACCGCCAGCGTCAGCTGCTCTTCGCCAGGTGAACGTAGGCCTTTGCCCCAGGCCATCACCTGTCCAGTCGGCGCCAAACGAGGCCGACTGATGGCAACATGTTCATGTGAGGCGCTTGTGTGCATCTCCGGCGTGTGGCGCCGGTGTACTCGGAGCTTCCTCCGCCGTGTCATTGTGCCCCTTGCCATGATTCAATGCTGGTCACCGAAGCGGCACCTGCGCAACGTCTACGGCTGCGGGGTCACCGAGGCCACCACCGTCCACCAGACAGCTATGCGGACGACCGCGGAGACGGGGCCGCAAACGGCTGTGCAGACGTCTGGGTGGCCTCTTCCTGGAGTGCAGGTGGGCATCGCGACGTGCAGCCATTCCACCGGGTGGGATGCGAGGTTGGTTATCCGCTCTCAACTCTCGTCAACAGCACCTGGAGCCGCGTGGAAAAACTAAAAGGTTCAGGCTCTGCGCAGTGCTGAAAGCAGCACCATCAGTTCTTTGTGCTACCGCCATCTGCAGAACTGTGTAGCCGGTGTAGCCCGGATCTGCCATAACACCCATTTGGAGAACTCCCCTAAGAACCCATCCCGCCGTGTCCCGCCTGCTGAAGTCCAAAGCCTGACGAGAATCTCCCGTGCGCCGAGAACACAGCTGAATGAAGAATGATAGGGAATGCATCTTAGTTGATGCTTCATCTTCCATGATCCTACTGGGTGGGGAAACAATGAAGTAGCCGAGCAGCTTTAAATATCCCGAAGAGAATCAACGCCGAAATCAAAAACCCATTACCTACAGCTGGGCTGCCATATCTTGGCTTCGACTCTGCGACAAGCGTGCGAAATCACAGTATTCCGTACTCATTTCGCTCCTTTGTGCACATGTGCCGATATAGGATGATGCTCGGAACCTCTGGACATGCGAAACGCAAGAACACCCTCTGCAACACAAGAGTTTGTGGCTCAAGTTTTCGCTTCTGGCCTTTGCTTCCGGCCCGCCATGACAAGCTGCTTAGCCGATTGGAAACACACACACACACAACTATTTCCATCGCTATTGCAATCGTATGAAATCGACATCAGGTTTCGTGGGTTCAACTTGTTTAGTTCATTGGCTAGTTTGATTATCTGAGGTTCCCACAAAATTCCTGCAGACACCACCCAGCTGGCCGGGGAACAGGTCAGGGAACAGGCTGGGGAACATAGGCGGGTGGCGCCATGTCAAGCTTTGACTTGGAAGGCGCCGGCGCCGACATTGAGGGCGGACGCGCCCGAGTTCGCAACACCCTCAGTCGATTGTATGGTCGTTCCCGCAGCAGCTGCGTTGATGCACAGGTTCCTCTGGCGCCAGGAACGTGGCAGCAGGAGGCTGGAGTGTACAGGGCGATAGCGCCATAACGGGTGGGTTAAAGTTAAGCTTTAGTGTTCGTGGCTTGTCTGTATATGCAAGATGATGCTGAAGTGGCTCATCTTGGAATGGCTTCATTCTGTAGAGCGTTGCAGGGCTTGCAGAACAACGCCTTCCAGAGTGCTGCAAGTCAGGCGCGTGAGCGTGCGAAACTTGTTGCTGTGTTGGTTTCCGTTTCGTCTTCAACTCAATGCCTCAAGCGAGGGCCCCGTGCGTGCGCAGCTTGGTCGCATGTGGCGAAGTGCTGTCCGCCGGAATTTTGGCTTCCAGTCTTGTGTAGCAATAGCTAAAGTTGAACATGGATTTACTCTTCTCTCTGAGTTCATGAAGTTGGTTGATTGCTCTGCCCACCCGCGTCCGCGTGTGGAAAGGGCATAAGAAGGGCGTTTGGCTTGGAGGTGCATGTGGAAGGCGCTCAAGCGGAGATAGCTTTCAGGTGCGGAAGGGGCTCAAGCGGAGGGCGTTTAGCTTCGAGGTGCACGGGGGAGGGGTTGAAGTGGAGGGAGCTTGGCTTGGAGGTGCATGTGGAAGTGTGGAACGGGGCTCGCGCAGAGGGCGGTTGGTTTGTTTCTCGTCTCGAGTTGCGTCCTCTCGACTTGTCCGCGTGTCTAGAGTGCACGCCGAAGCTTTGCGTGCTTTCGTCGCTGGGTGGGGGGGGGGGTTGACGTACATCAACATTATACTTGCTGGCCTTGTCCATTATACTTGCTGGCCTTGTCCATGTTTTTTTCCGCACTCAGTTTGCGATGCTGTCACCACAAGATGCTCAGCTCCTTCAGATAAAGTGTGGAGCGTCCAGGTGCGTTCTCGAGGCCGTGGCCTTCCAGGAGCGCGAGGGGAGGGCACCAGGGGTTTTAGACCCGCTTTTTTGCGTTTCGGGCTGGGGGGTTTGCGGTGCTTGTGGGACTTGTCCGTGAGGAGATGCTGGTCTGGACACTATGGTCATTGGCAGGATATGGTGAGAGGGTTCAACAACATCACAATCTCCGGAGAACGATTTGGGGAATGATGTGAAAAGGTCGGGCTCCGGGCTTCAACTGTTTTCAAGGGCCGCAGTTTTCGGAAGCCGCATGCTTGTCCTTCCAGAAACTGATGGTGAACGCCATATCTCTGCAGAGGAAGCACAGCTCCGGCTGGAGCTGGAGAGTGCGCAGCCTCCCGAATGAATCAGGGGTCAATCCAGTTTGTGGATTGCAGAAGCTCTTGCTCTGGGGCACTCCCTGTGCCCCCCAGTTTCTGATCAGCACTGCTGTACCAGTGGGGGGCGTTGCCTAACCTTTACAAGTTCGGAGATGGGCACTGTTGTCTGACGGGTGCCGCACACAGCACAGTCGTGACTTAACATAGTTGCGAGTATTGTCAAAAACTCGCTCTCGTAGGCTTCAGTGCAAGTCAGTGCTTAAGTTAGCCGAGGCAGGCGCTGATGGAGTCCAATTGGCGGGCTGGCCAAGCTGCAGTGAGAGCTGGGGCCCAAGCTGCCGCCATCGCAGATCGCGACGCCAGGCGCCCACGGAAGCAATTTGCAACATATTGCAGTCCTTGTGATCCTTGTGGTACACAAAGCTGTTGATGTGTGTGGTTGCATGCTGCAAGTGTCAGTTTTTTGTTAGCAGGAAGGAGGGAAGGATATGTGTTTTATAACGCGCCCAAAGAGTGAGAGTTGAGAGCTTGGAAGTGTAGCTGCAGCATTTCTGTCTGCAGCAAGTGTGAATCTTGCAAGAGCTGCTAGGCGCGCTGCTTTGACGTTATGCCGGACAGTCCTTGTTGGGGGATGTTCTATCTTGGTGTCCGGTTTGCTTGATTTTTTTCGTAGGAGAGCCGCTACTTCCGCTATGTTTCCATATTTGGAATGACCCTTCGTGGTGGCAATGGAGGGCTCCCGGCTTGCTGGCCTGGCACTGTCTGAGACTCCGGCTCTGCCCTGAACACACCTCGCTCGCGTTTACTCTGGCCCCCCAGTTTTCCCCAGTTTTCCCCAGTTTTCCCAGGTGGGCGAAATGGCAGCAAAACAATTTGGACAGCTCCCAGCTGAGCCGCGGCGGCTACTGCCTGCAAGGGACCATCTCAGAAGGCGAGGCCTCCAAAGGCTCCCAGATCCACCCAGATCCACCCGGATCCACCAAGCCATTGGCGTACACCGCGGCATGGTGCGTAGTGTACAGCGGCCCGCGAGCCAACGCAAGTGGTTCTGCTCTTCACGTTCCAGTTCGTGACGTAGTTGGCGTTGGGTGGGTCCGAACACTCGACTGTGCTACACAGTGAGGCTGACTCAGTCGATGCGTCCAGCGCGCTCCCAAAGCTGCAGCCGTCGTCGTTGGACCTGATCCGCGCCCGCGAGCCATTTGATTGCTGCTTGTGGTAGTTGGACCGTTGGGCCCACAATCTGGGCCACAAACTCCAAGAATTGGCAGAGTAGCTTGGCTTCAAGGTAGACGCAATGAAGGCTTGGCTGGAGGATGTCGACAGGACTCTGGGGATGCGGCATAGTTCACATGTAGAGGGGATGGACACATGTTGAAGGCAAAAGATGAAATCCAACCCGAAGAGAGGCCTCTGGCAATGCTGTAGCTGTCGAAGTCTCACACAGGTCACAAATGAGTACTATGCGCGAACGTCGCTTTCAACGTTCTAGGTTTCAAGCTTGTTTAATGCATGAATCGCGGCAGCTTTGCTTTCAACATTCGAGGTGCTAGTTCTACAAGTAGCTGTCATTCAGCTACAACTAGCCCCCAGTACTGGCAATTACAAGTCACGGAAGCAATCCGCGCATGAGAGTTGCCACCCCGGAACCCCCTAAGCTGATCATGCAGGCTTGCGACGGTGGAACGCCAGCACGCGGAGCGCTTCCCGCCTATGCAATGAACGGATTGGGTTCAGGGTTTGAGTGGCTGAGAGGCCCTTTATGCCCTGTAGAGAAAAACTTAGCAGGAAGACGAGTGTTGTGATGGGAACTCATTGACTACCGCAGCAATGCCCCCGTGAAAATCAAAACATACTTGGCACTTCGAAGCCCCGAAAACTGTCGCTTTCGATGGTAGAGCTGCTTTTTGTTGGAGGGTGCCTGTCGCACTTGCTTTTCTCTTGCTGCTCAAGCTCGCAGCAGCGGGGCAACCCTCTATTCAGGGAGCTGGGTTACCATAAGGTGGTACAAATTTCAGATGCATTTGCGTGAGTTGCATGATGCCGTTACGCCATGTCGAGTTGCAGATTTGGTCAAGGAAGAGTGAGCATATAGATCCATAGATCCTCACGGAGTGCTCGCAAGTTTCTGCAGCTGTCAGCTGAGGATTAGAGCTCCTATCAGGCACGGGCGAAACCCTGAAATCTAGCTTGATGCTTGGTGACGTGCTTCAGTGGCAGCTGGGGTTCTGTGGCACCGCAAGATGGCAAGTCCAGAGATCCGTGCCAGGTGAAGTCATGGAGCTCAAGTCGGCTCCCTGGACAGCAGGAAGTCTCGCAAGCAGTGCAAGCAATGCAAGCAAAGGTCAGAGGGCTTTATTACTTTATCGTGATCATGTCTTGGAGCATCTTGAAAAGCTGGCACATATGGCAACTCTACTTGGGGTTGTGTGTGCAACGGGCAATTCTCTCAATTCTCTCAAGAAACGCGACATCCTCCCAAGAAGCCGTCTTCAGAGGCATATATTCGGCCCAGCCTTGTCAGGGTTTAGGGCCTAGGGTTTAGGGACAGGCTACAAGCCCCAGCCCAGACGCGGGTAGGCTCAGGGGTGTCAAGGGCCAGGATCAGCAGACACAGCAAAGTTGACGGACACTGCCACGGCAGACCAAGGAAAATGCCACATTGCAACGGGACGCAGCGCTGCAGCGTGCAGCGGCTTCGCAGCGTGCAGCGGCTTCGCAGCATGCGTTCATGCAACATCTTTGATCGGGGTTCGAGGGCTTGGATATTGAAGCATTGCGGATAGAGGTGAATGCTCTCCCTTTTGGAACTTGGGGTGCATCGGCCAGTCTTACATCGTAGAATCATGAGAGATTGAAAGACTTGAACAAATCCTGTGGAGATCAGGGTTGAGGTTTGAGGGGCTGGCAATGGTATGATTATTGGCTGAGAGATTGAAAGGTTGAGGTTTTGTGAGATTGCGAACTTTGAAAGACCGAATGGGAAGGGGCGGCAAAGTAAAGGACAAAGACCCCACAGTGTATCGAAGCTGGCTGACCCGCATCAATGTACGAGTTGCTGGCACCATTCCACTTCTCAGGAGGTGCAGGGGGGTCGCAACCAGTTGGTGTGCCTCAGAGGCACATAGAATTTCGAGTGCCCAGTCTGCTCGGAGACCCAGATGGATGCCGACTCGTGCATCCGCTTCTGTGGCAATCATGGCAACCCAACCCTGAACCAAACATTAAGGCCAGGAGCCGGCATACGAAAGAAGGCCTACCCGAATTTATCCGATCAGCGCATTCTAGGGACTACGAGGTGAGGGCGATCCGCTGAAATGCTTTGTAGCTTTCTGCATGCTTGCGCGGAACACCTCTTCTTGCTAACGTGGAGTAGCCTCGCAAAAGAGGTTCCTCATAAAACGGGGGGTCACTTCATAACATAAAATTGGGGCAGGGAGAGGGCAACCCCCTATTTTTTCCAAGCAGTGTACTGCTGGGGTTTCAAAATTCATGTAAGGATCTGTTGGCTGGGTCCTGGGCTCCTCCGTCGCCCTTTGTCTCCCTTCATGCGGGGCCTTTGCCAACTTCCTGGAGTGTGTCTCCCCTCATGTCTCTCTGGCCTCTGCCGCCTCTGCCGGGTTGTTGGGCTCCTTGTCTCCCTTTGCTTCCCTTCATGGCCTTTGCCTTTGGCTGTCTCCTTTGGTCTCCTTTCAGTTCCCACGTTCGGTGGCTCTGGTGGCTCGGTGGTTCCACTTCTTAGGTTCGGTGTATCAATCCGGTCTCGGTGGCTCACGCGTTCGGTGGCTCAATCGGCTCTGTGGCTCGATCCGGTAGCTCGGTGACACGTGTTTGAAACCTGACTGCACTAATTAGTGTGTTCGCGGGTGGGGGGGGGGGGGCACATAGTCGGAATGCATTTCGGGGCAGAACAGATAGAGGACGATAGCAGCAAGATCAGGTGAGGCCAGGAGATGGAGATGGTGGCCCAATCCCTTGAGGAAAGGGGGGAGGGCCCCACCTCCTTTGCAGTACGTTTTGGATACATTTTCTCAGCCTCGTGGTCGTTTGGGAGGTTTTGTTTGGTTTGAGGCCTTTTGTGAGCCAAACCCCGTGTTTTCGGCTCGAAATCCTGGGTTTGAGGCCTTTTCTGACCCCAATAGAGGGGTGGCACTGGGGTTGCTCATTGGGTTCGAAAGTCTGGCCAGGAATGTCTCTCCCTCTGGAATACATTTCCTCAGCTTGGGTTGGGCTGGCCCGCCGCAAACAGCCCAATCCCTTGAAGAAAAGCTCTCCAGCTCTATCCGATGTAAGAGAGAACGTCCCCAAACACCTCCAGAACGCATTCAGGGGGTCAAAGAGTATTGTGTTAAATATCAAAGGCTGCGCACTGGTGGCTCAATCTGGTGGCTCGGTGGCTCGCGCTGGCTTAATCCAGTTCGGTGGCTCCTGCAATCCACTGTTTTTTTGCAGGTTCGATGGAGCCAGTTGATCGCTCATTCAGTGGGCTCGGTCCGGTGGCCCGGCAGTTCGTTCACAAAGCCCACGAAGTTTACGGACCATCTGCCACATGCTTGGCCCTCCCACGCGGAAAGGACTCAACCCGCCGCCGCCCCGAGGCCCACGAAGCTGCGCCAGGTCCGCGTCACCCGCCACTTGATTTCCCCTTGCGAAGCTGCGAAGCCCTTGAAGTTGAAGGTGGTTCGCTTGTTGGTGGCGGGGGCTCAATCCACTGACTCCATGGCTCACACTCAGTTGGTGGCTCGATGGCTCACGCGCTCGGTGGCTCAATCCTGTTGCTCGGTGGCGCGCTCTGTGTCTCAATCCGCTGGTTCTGTGGCTCATGTTCGCCAGCTCGATCCGCTGGCTCAGTTGCTCGAGTTCGCTGGCTCTCACGCGCTCGGTGGCTAAATCTGGTGACTCGCTGACTCGTGGCGCAATCTGGTGGCTCTGTGGCTTGCGTTCAGTGTCTCAGATTCCACTGGCTCTGTGGCTCACTGTGGCTCACGTGCTCGGCTAAATCTGGTGGCTGGCTCGTGGCTCAATCCAGTGGCTCGCGCATTCGGTGGCTATCCGATGGTTCTTCTCGTTTGGTGGCGCAGTCTGCTGGCCTTTCTCCGTGCTTGTCTCCCTTCATGTAGGCTTTGCAAGGTTGTGAAGTCTTCTCCTTCTCTACTCTTGTCTCCCTTTCCTGCAGCGTAGTGCACGGATGTGCACGGGTAGGATCTGCCGTTTCGGAGGCATGTCTGTCTGACACGCCTTCAACTTTTTGGGGATGCTTGGTCAGGCTTGGTCTTCAATGGTAATTCAAGTAATCGCACCGCGATGCAAGGTCAGAAGAAGAGCTCAATGCCCTTCCGACCTTCATTGCGACGCGGAACTGCCGCCCAAGGGGCGAGCACCAGCTCCAGAAACTGGCTTGCATTCAGACATATTCGGACGTTCCACGATCGTTCATGGCTTCGGTTCGATTTGAGGGTCCCGCGTGTTGTCCTTAGCGTTGGCGTAAGGTGGGTCCCATAATGTAGGGTTGGCACTGGTCCCTGGATTTGGGCCTGCTCCGTCTTGGATCAGGTTGGATGTGGGCGAGACGGTGCTATTGGAATGGGAAGACGAGGCTGCGCAAAAGAGATGCCGATGCAAACTCTTCTGAAATTCTGAAGCCCAAGAGCCGTGTCTTCAATGGCATTTCATGATTCATGAGCCCAGCTGAGTTTTGAGCTTTGAGCCTTGAGGTCATCCTGCCTCCTGCCACAACCTGCGAAACTTGAAGTGCTTTGTAGAACGAAGCTCTTAAGCAGCTGATCGGATGAGTGTTTCGGAGCTTTGGAGCATGCTTGCAGCTTGTTGCCGACGAGACCAATCATTCAAACCACAGGCGAGGTGCTAAAACCGCAGTGATACATCTCCTCAACGCCGTCGACAGAATATCAGCTTAGTCACGGGCCTAGTCGTAGTGCACCGCAGGGTTCCGACATTGATTCATCACATGATCCATAAGGTACGATCATAGTGCTTCGTTGAAGACAGTTTTCCCCCTTGTCAGGTCCTGTCTTGTCGCCGGAAAGGCCTCGGGCCATTCCCATTTTACGATTGAAAACAACTCGAATCTGCCAACCAACGTATTGTACCACCTCGACCACCTCAACCCTTTGCAACCAATGCCGGAGCTTTCACAACCGACCTTCTGGTTAAACATCGGGAAATAGTCTCTGTCAGCTTATGGCAGCAAGCCGATATAAGCCGATGCTTTAGGAAGCTTGAATCCTGTGCCTCATCAAATCACACAACTACAGGCGGATGGCCCGACTGGAGGGTACTGGGCCTACGGCCACAAGCTACAGACAGGAAGCTTGGCTGAGCAAGCGAGAATACTTCGAGCCCAATGGTACCAATGATATGTTGACTGAGTGAAGTTATGAATGATTGCAAGGAGTACCCTGAGCCTACGAAGTAGTGCTTGTTTTTCCAGTCTCGACAGGAAGCCTAAGCAGTTTCCAGCTTTGAGGTTACATCCCTCGATTTCGCCTCGAGCCATGCAGGCCACCTGGGGGGAACTGTGCTTGTTGCTTGTATGCTTCTGCTTTCTTGGTACATGAGCCACACCATCTTTATTATTCAGCACACATCTTCGGGGTTGGTTCTGAGGTTTTATCCTCAAATCTTCATGATTAAGTATTCTTGGCATGATCTTTCATCACATTTCGTCACCTACTTTGTTTTATCATCAGCACTTTCACGGATTTCCCAAATTCAGGGATTTCTGAGGTGTTTGTTGTTCTCATGTTCTATCAAAATCGATAATCAGTTTCATTTTAGTGGGGTTCTGTGAGTTATCGTTAAATACAGCGGTTCTAGGATAAAAAAACAAGTTCAATATCATATGTGTCAGAGTGTTCCAAAGCTTATGTTGCATCTATTGCACGTGTGCTTAGCACCTGTATGATCCTTTTCAAAAATGTCGCAAAACGACATATATATATATATATATATCATATATATATATATCATATATATATATATACACACACACCTTCTCTTTGATTTCAGACCGACTGTGAAGACCTCGGTGCGCCCCTTGAACTTTTCATCATGGAGGTTGAAGTCCTTGTAGAGGAAATAGAAGTCGTCCTGCATCTTCTGGGGAGTCAAAGCCTCGTCGAAGAACTTGTTCTTCAGGTTGCCGATACCCTTGCCCGTAGCGAGCTTTATGGCGTAGTTTGCGCTGTTGAAGACAACGTTTACGTTGATGACCTCCTTTCTCTCCATCGTTGCCTCTGCTTTGCTGGACATACCCGTTGTGCTTGCGCCGGCCGTTTTCTTGATGAACTTGCTGACAGTTTGCATCTGCTTCATCACCACCCTACATGAGGTCATCATTCAAGGTTCTCAACTCGCCGAGGTTGCGCTTCTTCTTGATGCACTTGACCCATGCATCCTCAACCGTGACACTGTCTTAGAACTGACGATTAACCTTGAGGACGAGGCTTTGCTTTCTTGGTCTTCGTGTCTTCGGTGGATGCTGGGGAATGTCACTGGCTGTGACCTTTTCAATGATGTCTTCAACCATCACCTTGTTCGTCTCAGGCTCTGGCGGACTCTGCTCCTTCTTCTGTAATGTTGACACACCATTCCTCCTCCTCAAAGTCCAAAGCAACAACGTCACCAACGTCACCATCAGACCGCCCCTTTTGACTGGTGAGCATTTGCTCGTCTTGTTCACTGTATCCACCAGATGCCATCTCCAGCAATGCACATAGAGCTGGAAATGCAAACCTTATGAAGTGGTTGTTGCTTGAGCGATGCATTCAGCAACATCATAGTGAATAACATACCTCAAACAAAAACAGGTCGGGCGTGCCTTGACGTAGACGTCGTCGGAGAAGGCGACGAATAAGAAAGAGGACATAGAAACTTCAATTCCCCAAGCCCCACGACACGATGCATTTTAAAAACTTTTGTGTAAAATTTGATATTTTTGAACAAGAAACACCCCCAGAAATCCCTGAATTTGGTCATCCCTGAAAATGTTGATGATAAATCGAAGTAGGTGACGAACTGTGATGAAAGATTATGGTACTGAAGATTTGAGGATAAAACCTCAGAACCAACCCCGATAAACGCATGAAGTGAGGAGAATGATGTAGAATGAATGAGATGGTGGTGGTGGAAAGATGTGTGATGAACAATGAAGATGGGTGTGGTGTTGACCCCAGAGCTTGAAGGCCAAAACCCCAGAACCAACCTTTTTGCAATTCCCCCCCCCCCCCCCCGGTGCCCCCCTCCCGTTTTCCCCTTACTTGAGGCGTCGTTGTGGGCCCCTGGTGTGGCTGTTTGTGGGGTGTTTGGGCTTCGGGATTAATTACGCTGCAGTTTTTTCGGTCTATGCTTAGGGTTCTGGTGTTTGGGTTTATAGGGTGTTGTCGCCGCAACCCTAAAACACACTGAATGGCTCAAAGGTTCGCTGCTACTCGTTCTGTGAGACCCGGAAAGCAATGGAAACTTCGGCGCCGTAGCAGCCCAACGCTAAACCCTAAGCCCTCTACAAAAGGACTCCAAGCTAGCAAAGCCGCCGAAGCAAGAGTCTTCGGCACCTCCAGGCCGCGGGGCTACTCCAGCAGCTCCGCGTCGACGTCTCTGTGAGACAGCCTCGGCAGCGCAAGAAGAACGCTGCGCTCGATTTCGCGCACCAGGGCGTGGGAGGGATACCTTAGCTTCATGGCGGCGAAAATGCTACGTAAGCAGTGCAAGCATCCGGTAGCCCTACAAAGCCCCATACAGCCTGCAGCTTCAGCCTGAGTACCATGGTAGACGCCCTGGGCACACTGAGACACTGTGAGTGCACCCTTCTTGGAGGGCGCTCAGTGCTGCCCAGAGATCATCGTCCAAGTTTCTGTGGGCCCCGTCGAGATGATCGAGAGTGGCAGCGGTAATTTAACTTTGCTTAGAGTGTGTCTCCAAGCGCAAGGGGCGAAAGTTCGGTTTTCCAGCCTAGCAGTTTCTACCAGGAGAAGAGTGGCGCTGGGAGGCTCCGTCCGGAAATGCTGCGGCAGGGGTTGGGGTAGGAGGGGCTCCCAGTCTACGATATCGACTGTGAGGAAGAGTGCTGAAACTTCTTGTCACCTCGCGAGTCGAGCAGACCTTGTTTGCAAACAAATCTTGAGCTGATGAGATTGGGATGTGTCATGCCAAAGTGTCCATGGGGGCCCCTGCTCTTTAGACACTGTTTAGTTTAGACTTTAGAGTCAGCTTTATGGACGCAGAGCGGTGAGTTCAATGTGGGCGAACGGTCGAAAAGATGTCTACTGTGTCAAGCGGCCCCGTTGCCTCGGCAGAGCTGGCTGAACGTTGGAGCCACAGCCAAATCGAACTTAAAGGTCCTTGCCACATCGAGGTTCATGGGTTTTGGAGGTTTAGGTTTGCATTCCGTGGTGGCAGCACCCGAAATTTCGTTCATGCGTTGCCTTCCTGTATTTCCGAGCACGCGCTCGTTGGAGGATCTAAGCAACGTCCAACGTCCAAGTAGCTGCTTTAAGTTGTGGTCAGCAAGCTTTTTCCTGTGTCAGCCAGATGCGAAGCAGATGTTTACCCAAAGTCGTTTTGGGTGCGCTATCTTTGCCCCAGACTGCCAGCATCAAAGGTGGAGAACGTTACGATGACTTGGATGTGGGCAAAGCTGCTACATTGAGGGCATGATAAACAACAGGTATGCGAGATTCGCGACACTGCACCGCCTGAGGGTACATGTATGGCATGTGCATTGCACGCCGTCATGCCAACTATCTCTTGGCCGGCCAACCTCCGCACCACTCGGGACCGCAAGTGCTGTCGTTAGGCTCCGCTCCACCCTCAGAAGTAGGTGTTGTGCTTTTTTCCTCTTTTTTCCATGATTTTGAGAGAGCTCTCAATCTCCACTCTCTGAACGTCGTGGCTCCGGACAGCCATGGATGGGGGGGGGAACCATGACATCCGCAGGATCAGCACGTTGGCATCAGCAAATCGGTAATGGGGTTCGTCAACAATCAAGGCTTGTGCCAATCAGAGTTTAGCAGTAGGAGGTATTGCACAATGGAATGAATGATGACCTGCTTCCAGCGAACCTCGGCAGATTGTGGAAGACATGGAAGAACTGCAGCTACGGCATAGCTGCGGCGTAGCAGCGGCGTAGCATCGGTGAAAGAACTGGAGGGTTGCGAGCAGTCATCTCTTCGCCCAAGCTCTCAGGATTGGTTTCCTGGTCGTTGCCTGCATCTTCGTGATCGGCTACGTTGCACTCGGGCCCAGCTTAAGTGCGGCGAAAGTGCACAACAAGTAACAATGACGTGTCGCAACTCGCGTAAATCGCGTGCAACAGCAACAGGCAGCTGTGCCCATTTGGCGCTGGCGGCGGTCCAAAAACCCCGATGCGTCTTTTCGGACGCCCACAGACTTGTGGCTATGGGTCTTGACCAGCCTCTCGGCGACATCGGTCTTGGTTGTTGTTCCTGTTATTGTTGCTTATGTTCTTTGTTTGCACACTTTTGCATTTTCATTGCTTCTGAGGCTGTCCGTGTTTGGCACTTCTTTTCGGCATCGTGTCGTGCTCAGAGCCCTCGCTGCCCACGGTGCTGCTCACTACTCCCGTACTACTCCCCGTTCCGCATGTCCCATTCGGTTCCCAAGAGTCTTGTTTGAGGCCTTGCCTTGCGGCTTCGGGCTTTTCGGGCTCAACTCCGCAGGACGGGACCTGGACTGGATGTAACCTCTAAAGACGACCATGCTAACGTCCATGCCCTGCATTGGCCCAGAAGGCCTTTTGCCGTACGGCTTCGCAGGGGGTGCTCTTGTTTGCGCCGCTTGGTAGGATTTGCCGTGAACGCCGCTTGGCCGCAACTTTGGGTTCCTGAGCGTCTGCTCTCTTCTTGGCGACGCTCCCATTGCGATCCTTTTCTAGAAAAGTCGAGGTGAACTTGGACTTCTCGGATTACTTGCGGGCTGAACTAGAGGCAACGGGTGCCGGGGGCGCGGAATGTGAACCTCGTCGAAGTGTTCCCTTCGGACCTCATCTCCTGAATTCTTTTCCAAAGATGCGGAAGAGCAAGCAAAGCGTTTCTTTGGTGGGCACATCTTTTAGTGGTCTCTCTCACTTTTTTTGAGAGAGCTTCGACAACGCCAGGACCAGTACCTGCTGGATGCCGCGGGCGAGGCCTCCTCGGAGCAAGTGCCGGGCCACCCAGAGCGACAGGGACGGACGCCCCCCAGTGACCGAGCTTGCATACCAGTGTACCAAAACGGCCACTGTCTTAGATTCGAAGACAGGAGATCCGATCTAAAAAAGTCTGCCCGAAGAGAATTTTCGAGACCTGACAGAAGGCGCAAGACAGGCAACCGCCGGAGAAGATCAGAAGAGTGGAAGGCGGGCATGTGACAAGCAGGTGCCTTGGAAAAACAGTGCCTTTGCCTTTGCAGAAGACACGGGAGGCCTGGACGGTCTACGCTTATGAGCAGGGTCTCTTGAGGCGGGCGGGGCAGTTCTTAGCTGGGAGGTCTTCATCTTCTTTTGGCATGTTTTGTTGGCATCTGTTGGCTTTTGTTGGCTGCTTTTGTTGCCACTCTCCGAGCCGCGTCAGGAGCAATGCCAGCACCAACGAGGTGCTGAGACTGGCTGAAACCCCCGATGAGCTGCACACTGCATGCAAGCGTGCTTGTGATTATCATAGGGCACGTTGCGCTGCAGGGATCTGATCTTCGACGACTTCAGCAAGAGAGACTCCTCTGCAATTTGCAAAGAGCTGCAAAGCGTGCACGCTCGGGGCCAATGTGAGCTGAACCATGTGCCGCGATCCATCAAATGGATTGTATGCCCTTCCACATGCCTGTGCGTGTGCTCATGTTCGGTCACGGGCATGCGACAAACCGCTTTGCTCGCATCTTTCAGAACTCTTAGCTCCAGAGTCCTCGGACGGCACATTTCATGGGATTTTGCCTTGGGCCCTTCAGGTTGTTCCCTTGGGTTTGGGGACCCTTTTTCAAGATCTTTTAAGGGAGCGGGGAGCCCCTGCGTGTACGTCCTTGAGGGCTCCAAGATTGACTCGCTTGAAGATGGCTGCGTTGTGCAGCACACCGAGCTAGGACATCAGCGACGCCAGTACAGACGACGCTGGCTCCCGGGCCGGAAAATTTCATCACGCGCTCCATGTGTGAATTGTGTGAGTTGTGTGAATTGCGTGAATTGTTTGACTTGTATGAATGTGGCAGAACCTGAACTTGCGGCGGGATGCAATCGCATGCAGTCGGATGCGGTCGGCTGAGGCTTACCAAATTTGGGAGCTGGACATCTTCTACCAAGCTGTGGACCCCAGCAAAGGTACTCTGAATGGTTGAGCTGCACTGTAGGAGGTTGCGTTCTGCTGCGTTCTGCCAGGCATTTTCACAGAGGAAGCCCTCAGAGAGATCAAGGACTTCGAAGACCGCTTGGCCCCAGAGCTGCAACTAGACCAACTGGACCAACTGGACCCTTTCGGAACATGTCTCTGAGAGTTTGCAGACTCCAGTCTTGTAAAAGTTTCGTGGTCCAAATCCCCTTCGAGACACAAGGTGTCCTTCGATGGATTCGAGAGTTTCTGTCGGAGGCGCGTCTCTGCTCGAAAGGCAGCTGCCAGTTGCTTTTGTCATCTACATCCGATCATTTTTTGTGCCCGCCCTTTCCTTCCACCGGCCACTGGCACGAGTTTTAGTTGTTTTCTGGGGGGGGGGTGCTAGGGCCTGTTAGGGCCTGTTGGGGGATCCACAGAAGGTTTGTCCGTTTCTCTCTTGGAAGTTTCGAAAAGTGGAAAGACAAGGAACATGTGCGGTGATCTGCGACATGCAGATCCGAGGTATCCAGGGAGTCAGGCGCACATGCCTGGTGCATCTTGGTGCAGGTGGCACGATCGTGGGGCCTCCTGCGATGTACCCTACTCTGCAGCGTGGCTGACCATCACACAACATCGTGCACGGGGGTAGCTGATGTCGTGGCGCATGACGTGTGAGGTGAAGAACCTGTTCTTTTCAGTGACCCTCGGCATGCATAATCAGACTCACTGAGACTCGAGAAGGCTTTGCGATTCTGCGATCTAACCTCGGGTGCTCCCGGGGTCTCTGGTGTTTCAAACTTATTTTGGCCCGAGGCCTGATGCAAGCTTGCATAACGGATCCACGATGTCCTTGTGCCGTTCTTGGGTTTTGGGACGTGTGGCTTGTGTGCCTCTTGTCAAGTTCCTTTGCCTGCCCCTTGGGCATTGGAGTCGAGTGAAGGTCGTATGATGGTTCTGGCACGCTGGCGAGCATTGTGCCTTGCCGGCTTAGAACATCAAGTGTGGCGTCAAGCGTGGCATCAAGGGTCCAAGGAGTGCCGCGGTGCCCCGTTTCCTGAGGAGTCGGTCTTGCAGGAGATGCTCAGCAACGACGTCCGCTGGTGCATGCCCTGGTGACTGGTGAGAGTTCTTGGGAAGTACGGTGTTACCTTGGCTATTCAGCAGATGCTGCGTTGTATCGAAATTCGGCAAGCAACACTTGCAGGAATTGGCCCCGTTGCCAGGTGGACGGATGGTGACTTCAACCGCAACAACCTGAAGAGCCAGTGCCAGACTCGTGTTCTTCCGCTGTGTTTTGCTGTGCAATCCTCCGAACATGTTCTGTTCTGAAGATACTCGCGGGCGACCGTCTACGGAGGTCAGATATGCTGCACACTCTTGGGTGCGTGCGTAGCGGGTTGCTCTGAGCATGCCAGTGAACACAGTAGTCTCGCATGCGTCAGGCGCACCTCTGCCTGGCTACCTGAGCTGGGACGATCGGCAAGGTGAGCAAGAAGCGAAGATCAACTCCTGGCTAGGCCGGCAGCTTCTCCAGAATTTGCCAGATGTTGTTTTTGTTTTTCTGCTTGTTTGGTGTTTAAGTTTCTCGGGTGAGCAGAGAGCTTGTGGCGGTGCTGCGGAGCGCAGTTGCCACTTTTCTTGCGAGATCTTGCGAAAGAGTGCGAGCCAGCCGTGTTGTGGAGTTTGTGGGTGGGGCCTGTGTGAAATGCGCGAAACCTCGTGGTCCATCTTTCAATCGTCCTTGTGTCTGTGTCTCTTCTTCCGAAGTTTCCAACTTGGGTGTCACGGTGTCCCTCCATGAGTTCTTGCGCTCCTTGCGCAAGCGCTCCTTGCAAGCGCTCCTCGCAAGCGCTCCTTGCAGCAATTCTTTTCAGAAGCCCCCTTCACAACGTCCTTCACAGGCCGGCTCTTCGAGGATTTCCTCCGTCGAGCGGACCTGACTGGAGAGAGGGCCTTTCCGTACCAGCACGTGAAGATCACGTGGTTTGAGAAGAGGAGAGACTGGCTCCATGTTGGCTTTAGGCTGGCCTTGGTAGCGGGGTCCACGTCCTGACATGGGAGGATCAACAACTACGAGCACCTCAGCTATGGCAGGGCCGTGCTGAGAGCAGAAATTTTGGGACAAAAGGGGGGGGGGAAGAAAAATGAGTGAATGAGGGCATGCCGACCGTCGGTGGCCGCAGTGCTCACCGAGGATTCTTTTCTACCTGCGCTTCGACTCCCTCATGGCACTCGGCACCATGGCAACGGTGGCCTTGCTGGTGTTGGCCCGGATCCAGAACCTCTTCATCACCTTCTTCGGTGCCATCGGCCGCTCGGCTCCCGTCTCGCTGTCCATCTCAAGTGTGCTTCCCCAGCTCTTCTGTGTGTTGTCATCTCTCGTGCTTTTTTCGCCTTTTTTCCACTTTGCCGCAGACACCTTCGAACCGTGGCTCAGCTCAGGTGTGGCTCTGGCTTTCGTGGGCACCTACTACTTCCACTTTGTTGTCGCAGGCCGGGGGAAATCGCTCCGTGCACGAACTCGAATGCACAAAGGCGGCGTGAAGCATTGCTTTAAAGTCTTTAAGCTGCCAAAATGCGACGGCACCTTTTTCCTTCTTGCGAGGCTTCAAGGCTCTGACCATCCTGGATTTTGTCTCCTTGTTCGTCATTCTAGGCTCTGCCAACGGATTGCTCTGACAGTCCTGCTCATGACAGACTCATAATTATGCATTTCATGATGCTGCGTTTTGAAGCTCGTAGGCATTGCCGCCGATGATGTGCTTCTGTTGTTCAACACCTACTCTCTCGCGACGGTGCTGTTGGGTGCAGAGGCGGAAGAGGGATAGGAACTAGGAGTTGAGAAGTCTCTTGAAGTCTTCTTTGAGTTTCGTTCAGGGGCAAATGGGTTTGGAGAGTTGAGATCTTTTTCAGTCTTGAGACCTACCAGGCGACTCCGAAGCAGAAGATGTGGTGGGCCTACAAAGAAGGGACGGCACCGATGCTGGTCACGCCGCGAGTCAGCAAACGCCAGTGACAGTCAAGCAGCGCGCGCATGCACCCGTTAGCAACGTGCGAGCCGCTAGCTGCGCATGCCTTGACGGTGCAGTGACAAAGTTGAGAGGAGCTCTTCGAAACTCTTGGCAGCATCCCAGGACGGTGACCACCTGCGGGTCCTTCTACGCCAACTGCTTCTCAATTGTCACCGTGGTGAGGAGGGAGAACCCAGAGAGCCTACCTGGTACATCAGCTTCTGAAAGAGGTTTCGCGCATTTTCGCACTTTCGCATTTTCATTCTGCTTTGGCACAGGAGCTTTGGGTTCTTCATGGCTACGCTCGTGGCATGGAACTTCCTGAATGCACTGGGCTTAGCCTTCTTTTTGTGTGCCCGAGTTGCTGAGCTTGCTTTGCTGAAGAGAGAGATGGTTTCCACGCTGCAGAAGGTGCTGATCATCTTCCCGGCGGCGATCTTGGTGAACGACCTCTACATTATCCCCGCCTTATCTTGGTTCTGCAGGTGTCGGATGTGTCGGCGAGCAGGCCCGGGCGAGATCCCTCTAGAGATAGAGAGAGGGAGCATTCTGGGATCATTCCGTTCAGCATCCAAACATAAACAACAGTGAGAGCTGAGTGTTCCTTACGTCAAGCTGAGGCCGACGGGACCAGGTGGCCCAGGAACCGCAGGCACGCGGCTCAGCTCATCGCCTCAGCCCGCTGCGCCGAGTCCACTGCTCTCGACTTCTCAGCCAGGGCCTTCAGCCCAAGAGGAGATTGACGGCGAAGGCCGGAGCCAGAACCACCTGCAAGGCGAGAGGCACTTCTCAGAATTCGCAAGTGACATCGATGTCAGGGTCTTGCGGATGTCGACCATGAGGACTTGCCAGAAGTGTGCAGAAGATGACGAGAGATGTGACACGAGATGCTCTCTCTGATTGTGAGGACTTGGGACTGTTTGACCGGCTGGTGGCTCGTCGCTTCTCGCCTTGTCCGGTCCTCGAATCATAGCTTCCCTTGTTGAATTCAGAGAGAGGGGTGAGGATTTCAAGGTGGTCCCCTACATGTATTGAAGAAGTCGAATGTTTGTTGGGTTGTTCGGCTCTTCCGGTTCGATGGCAGCCGAGCCGGAGCTCTCCAAGCAAGGTGTAGCTGTGTATCACGCTGTGTATCACGCTGCCTATGCGACACCGAAAGAAAGAGTGTCTCTTCTCCGAGGCCTTCACACGCTTCGCTGGGCTTTGATTCTGCTCTCGATCGTGGCAGCTGCCACCTTCTGCTACCTGGCCGTGGTGGCCTTCCATGTCTCGGAGGGCGCCATCAAAGTCTTTGAGGACTCCCCGCCGCACTCACTCCGTTTCGCGGACAGCGCTGACACCGCTTACAGAACACTGCAATGCTGAGACGCTCTCCTTCTTCGTGCTGTTTTCCTGCGCTTAGGAGGACCTCAACCTCGGACGGCTCGAGCAGCTTCGGAAGGAAGTGTTCCCAGCCAACACCAATGAGGATTTCAGGGAGGCGCAAGATGGCTCTCGATTCTCCATGCGGGCTCCCGTGCATTGGCCATGCGTTGACCATGTCCTCACCAGGCAATCCGCGTCACACCTCCAGACGCTCGGCTGAGGCGAGCGTGCAACTTCCAGAGAGGCAGAGGGAGCTCGTGGAACAGGGGGATCCCGCGCTTCTCGCGAGAAGGCCGGATCAACGGGCCGTCTGACCCGGGTCCTTCCGTAAGGGGCCTCTTGTGTAGAATAGGAAGAAGAGAGCTCGTGGGTGGCTTCTCTGGGTTTGTGGTGCTGGTTTCCTTTCGATGTGCTTTGTGGCTCATTCCACTCGTGACGGCGACCGGGGCTCTGGGCGGGGGTCGGGCGCAATCGGGGATGGCAGAGCACGCACCAAAACCGCCGAACAGAGCACCAAAAAAGCACATGCGTGCACCAAGCCGGGCCAGGGTTTTGGGGCTTGGATGGGCTTGGGGTTTGTTGACTGCTGATAGTCCCTTTTAGTATGTTAGGGTCTTTGGATTCTTAGACTTTGAAGGTTTACAGGTGTTTGGGTTTTGAAGGTAGAGGGGTTTTTCTGTTACGGGTAATTCTATTGTTGAGTCGCGGGTCCTTGGTGGTTTTGAGAGGATTTTGGGGTTTTGGGCTTTTAAGGTTTGTGATTTTAGGGTTTAGCGCTGTTAGTGTTAGTTGAGTTTTGGGTTTGTAAGGTTTAGGTTTTTCGGGTTTAGGGTGAAGGTTCGCTCAGGTTTTGTAGGCTGAAAAGCGTGCTTCGGGCTAGGGTTTTGGGGTTTTGAGGTTCAGCATTTTAGGGTTTAGGGCTTTGTGTCTAGGATTTTTGCTTCGAGGTTTTTGGCGGTCAACGGCTTGTAGGGTTTTGCCGTCTTTGGTTTTTGGGTCCTAATGTGTATGTTTTTCGCGATTAGGGCTTCGGTTTTGCATTTTTCAGAGTTTTAAGCTTGAGAGCGCTTAGGTTTTGACGGCTTCAAGGAATTCTAGGGTGCTCATGGTTTGGGGTTAGGCTTTGTGGGCATGTGATCGTTGTTCAGGGTCTGTACGCTCTTACAGTTTGGCATGTGCAGGCTATACACTTGTTATGGTTCCGTGTCCCTGTTTTTTTGATTTGACTTTGTTTCGAATGCACTAAGAAACCACGTGAGCGGAAGCGGCCCCAGAAGCCTGAGCAGTTGCCATTTTCCTGCCGCTTTTGATTCACCAGCCACATGTCGCAAGAAGAGGCACCTTCAATGCCGCTTTCCTCGTTCGATCTTTTCGGTCCAGTCTTTCCCGTCTTGTGCTTTTCTCTTCCTCAAGTTACGGGATTTCGAGAGAGTTCTTTCGCGAACAAGAAGCCGATTCCCACCGAGAGTTGAAGACCTGCCAAGCGGCACGGGTGCCAGGTTTCCAGAAAATGTGTCTAAGGAGCCTCGGAGATCCTCGGGTCCTAGGGGCACCAGAGAGCTCCGAGTAGGTCCTGGCCATGACCCGCCAAACCAAGGACCGAGCCTTCGATGTACGCAGCTGCCCGGGCCGTGTGGGGAGCGGGAATTCTTCCTGGTGCAGTGCCCAAGGCCGATCGCATCAGTGAGAGTGAGAGTACTGTTGTTTTTGGGGGCCGTTTAGTCTGCCAACTCAAGGTCCAAAGCTTCATGTTCTGATACTAGCGGGGGCTTCGCAAATGCGGCCACTGTCGCGCAGGTTTCAGTTGGGTGTTGAGGACAGGGACATTGGAGTTCACGAAGGTGTAAGGACTGTGTAAGGCCCTTCTCTTGGGAACTCGTTCGGAAGGAGTTTTGGTTGGACACTAGGACGCTGGCAGGCACCTGCGATGCCGCAAGCAGCACCTGCACCTGCCGCCCTGCTGAGATGAGTTGACGCGTCCTTTTTCAGACCCGCTGCATGAACTTGATGCTAGGCCCTAGGTGATGAAAGAGTAGCATCCTGCCATGAGTCCGTGTCACAAGAATATCTCGGATCATTGATGCTAGGCGATGAGCCTTTCGTCGGGCAAGCGTGCTCAGTCGCAAAAGCGGCTGGAATGTTGGACTTGGTCTACTTCTCCATCGCGGAGGACCACTCTTTCGTATTTCCCCTCTCTCTGCTCTCCCTCTCTCTCCCTCTCGCTCTTTCGCTCTCTCTCGCCCTCTCCCTCCCTCTCCCTCCCGCTCTCCCTCTCCCCCCAGGAGCCGGGGGAGTACCTCTACGCCCATGTCCTCTCCTCCCCAGAGCTGCTTGCTGCGCCTTCTTCTCTTCCGCCGGGTCGCGGGGACTTCTTCTTACGGCCACTCGTCGCTGACTCTGTCATGTGCTGGGTCGCGATCGTCGCGATGAAGTAGAACTTAGGAACGAGGGCGATGAGGACGTCGATTGGCAGTTGGACAGCGTGTCCCAGCGGCAGGGCAGGCGACCGGCTCGGGCGGGATTGTATTTTGAGCGGGAGCTGCCCCCGAGGTTCCGTCCTGGCTGTCCTTCGCTCCAACAGCGGGCGTGCTCACGAAGCGCAGTTTCTCGAGGACATTTTGTGGTGGGGCAATGTTGCGGACATCGGTAAACGGTGAGGGTAAACGGTGAGGGCACATGGGAGGGCACATGTGTTCAGTGCGTCCAAAAAGATCTGTGAGGACCGACGAAGCCTATGCCGGTAGGACCTCCTTTCAAGCGGCTCTCGACTTGGCAGGGAGCTTTGGCTTAGAGTTGGGGGGAGAGATAAGCATACATCCGTGGGATTCGCGGTATGTTCGAGTACGCTTTGCACTTTGCACGCCGCTGCCGCCTTTCAAGGAGGCCAGCGGGCTGGAGCGAGAGCGCGTCGCTCTGGATCCAAGCAGCGACGCCTTCCACCTCGTTGCCACCACGTCTCCTGCGCGTCACTGCCACGGTGGTTCCTCTGCCACGGCAAAGCTAGGGACCTTCCAAGAGATCGCCTGCAGAGATGGGGAATGATGGGGAGATATGGGGAGAGGATCGCAGAGAATTGCAGAGGGCTGATCCACGGATGGAAACTTGCTTTGTGCTTCGTTTGTGCCCCCCCCCCCCCTCACACCTCGAGACCGTGCACTGAGTTGGCTAGGCTTGGCTAGGCTTGCGCGAGTCACTGACGCGGCCTCCTGCGCTGACCTACGCTGCCCTGAGCAGGTTTCGCCGCCGGCGCTTGCAGCTCTCAAGGCCTTTGCCGAGGGGAGCGAGGTGCTCTTACAGCCGGCCTTCGAGGTCGCCCGTGGCTTTGGCGCCTCGAGCTGCATGTGTCAGCATGTCTCAGCCCTTAAACTCGGTCGAGCTGCTCTCGAGCTGCTCTCGAGCTGCTCTCCTCTGAGGCGCTGATCCCTCTGAGAATCGAGTCTCTCAGAACACGGAGATCAGATATCAGGCCCACGGGGCATGCACTTCAAAAGGGGGGTGGTTCCCCAAGAGCTAGCAACCTTATAAAGCAACTTCATAAGCAAGTTTAGAAGCAACGACAAGCAGCACAGCGTGTGTAGGTGTCGAGCCAGAGCGACTGGCTGCGCGTGGACCTGGAAGTCTGGGGCGGAGAGGATGCCGTCACCGTCGACGGGCGCCCGCTGCGGGGCGGCTCCCTGGTGTGGCCACCCAGTGCAAAAGCATAGTGAAGCAGAGCGACGCATAGTGAAGCCCCTACTTTCCTTCAAGAGTTCAAGCAGCAGCTTTAGCTGGATGCGCTCGATTCAGAAATCGGCCTTCAGGAAAACAGGACTCAGGAAGCTCCGGTGATTCAGGAAACTGCGAGCCAGGCGATTTAGGAAGCTACCAGATTCACAGGAAACGGGCTTCACGCGAATCAAGAAGCCGAGATCCAGGCAACCACGCGATTCAGGAAACCATCCGATTCAGGAAACCACGGGGTGGGGCAGGGGGTTGGTGGGGGATGATAGCGTTCGTGTCAGGAGAGTGCCCAGAATTTGTGTTGTTTAGTTTGCCGAATCCGAAGTTTTTCCAGTTTTCGAATCCGCCCGTTTTTCAGTCTCAGCTTCTCCTAGAGCCGCGCAGGGCATCTCGGCGCCCGGGTCCATTCAGATCCAAGCGGGGGCCTTTGGAATCTGTGCTTGGCCCTTCCAAGCTGAGAAGTTGACGGCCCTTTTTGCCGCACCCTTTCGAATCCGACGCTCCAGCGAGGTCGTGTCCAGCTTCAGGGACTACGCAACAACCTACATCCTGGATGCTATCAGGCGTGACAGCATCAAAAGTTGCAAAGGGCCAGGCTTTCAAGCAGCAAAGGTCATGCAGCGGACTTCATTGATTCATGCCTTAGATGCCTTAGATGACACATTGACATGATGATGCAAACCATTGGCGTCTTTCCCTAAGCGCATACCCAACGTATTTGAGCCGGATGTGCTTTTTGATTTCTCGGTGAACGTACAGAATGGGCATGACCGTCATGACCCGTACCACTGTTGTTCTGAAGCATGGTTTGATGTGATGAAATGACGACATGAACACCCGGGCACATATCTTTGTGATTGCGTTTTCACGCTTCGTTCCCCGGAAGTCTAGTAAAGGAACACAGGTTGGGTGCTTTGCTGGATCTATTGTGAGGTCGTGTGATGGGCCGTGCCCGACAGAGACGTCCACATCGGTGACGACGACCCGCATCACTTCCACGTTGGCCCCCGGCGCAACGACCACTACGCTGACACGCACAACGAGCCGCACGCAGGACGACGCACCTCATGTCTTCAACCATGGCCGTTACGTCACTGTGTCGCGATACTTTCAGCGCAGGAGACAGATCACCTGGTCGGACCGCCATTTCCCACAGTTTGGCAGTGCTTGCAGTTCTTGCAGTGCTTGCTGGCTCCAAACACGTGTCAGCACCTGTATCTGACATCAATGAGCACGGAGGAGTGATGAGCCTCACTGCTCTGAACTGCCCGGCGCTCCAGACGAGCGAAGGTACGCGCTCTGAGACCGTCACGTAGCGGGAGCGAGGCTTCAGCAAGTTGTTCTTGCCTGGGTCTTCCGTGCAGAGGAAGGAGCAGTCTGGCCTCGGGGTTGGCGGAGATCGCGGAGGTTCGCCATTCTGAAGATGCCTTCTGGGATTGTTGAGCATTTGCTTTCTGACCCCCTTGGCTCTGAAAAGGTGGAGGAGGCGGCCGTCTCCATCTCCGTGTGGTGCAACGGCCGCAGGCTGTCATCGAGGCCGCATTCACATCTGAGATATTCTGACAGGCTCCTTGTGGAGCCTTCTGGCGGAGCCTGTCAGGCAGCTTCAGGTCAGCCCGGCGGAGCTTCTGTACTCCCTGGTCCCGACCTCATGGAAGCCTTCGTGGGGGCAACGGGGCAGCTTCTGGAAAGCGTTCTCACAGAACAGCATTCAGGCTGAGAAAAAGGCTTAGGGGACTCTTGTGTGGTGGCACACCGGGAGATGGTCCAATGACTTTTTCCACTGCATCGCTTCAGGTGGTGGGTGGGGCCGCCACTGCTGATGTGGTGAACCGACTAGAGCTGGAGTCACCCGAGACCATGACCAACAAGCTGCAGGCACACCATGGCATCTTGTGCGACACCAAGAAACAACGACCTCACAATGGGCTCAGCCCTAGGATGGACTCATCTGAACTCTTTGCAGGCTTCCCTGGATCAGCGCGAGGGCTTGCCTCCCATTCAGCTGGAAGTGCCCTGGATGTGCATCAGCAACACATTTAAGCGCATACGCAGTTGGCCGGGGGAACACCGCGCTTCTCACCCAAGATGCTTCACAAAGAGCTCTGTTTCCCTGGAGACCCCGGAAAACTTTCTCTACCAGGGCATCATCCAACCGAGAGCGCTCGTCTCTTCTCGTGAGCTTGTCAGGAGGCGCTTCTTCAGGGCCAATGCTTTAGTTTTGTTCTTTGGGGGGGCCAACTTACATGAGAATTCGAAACGTGGCAATTTGTTGTGTCGCGCAGAGACATGAACCAGCAGACAAGAGGACAAAAGCAGCCCTGTGAGGTTCCCAAGGGTTGGAGCGTCCATTGCTTTGACGAAAGGTTCTGAGCCTGGGAGAGGTGCTGATCAACCCAGCCCCGCGCTCAGCTTTGGCAATGTTTTGACTTCGCCGTGGCTTTGGCGCCCTGCTCTCAAGCCACTGCAAATTGAATGCATTTCATTGCATTTCTTTTGCTCAGGATCCGACAACTACTGCTGGCCCCTCAGGGTAGACTGCGTTTGCGCATGTGCGCCTGGCCGCTTCAATGATTTAAGGCAACCACCAGCACTATGACTGCAACAGCTTCGAGTAGCACTGCAACCGCAACTTCCATAACCACCACGAGTGTTTCGGAAACAAGGACTACCACAACTTCATTCACTGCCACTGCGACATCAATCACAAGCAGCACTATCACGAAGACACAAAGCACAGCCACCAGTCTCACGTTGACCAGCAGCAGTAGCAGCAGCGCAACCACGACTGCAAGTTCAGTCACCAGCGTGACGACCACGCGAAGCACGGGCACCACAACCACAGGCACCAGAACTGCCAGCACGACTTGGACGGCGACCTCAACACTTTCCACTGCCGCGGACACAACGCTGACAGCCACAACAACCACAGAGACAGCCAAAGATTCTGCCACGACAGCCACGGTGTCCACGGTGTCCACTATGTCGCTTTCCTGCAACATTTCTTGTATTCGGATGTATTTCTTGTCTTTTTTTGTGGTTTTGGGCCGTGCAACCTGAATGCAGCTCCTCCACCGTGCCAGGACCGCCACGCAGACCGAAGTGACCACCACATCTATCACGACCAGCACAAGCACGACGACTGCGGCAGTGACCTCAGAGGGTTCTGGGATGTTCTGGGTTCTGAGTCGGATCTGAGTCGCTCCGGAAGCCAAGTGCTGGCATAGATCGCCGGTACTGGAGCTGAGGATGCCAGCACAATGACGTCAACCGTGTCAACCACAGCATCCAGTACTTCTTCGAGTAGTCGCACGTATTCAGCGACATCCAGCACGACAACGTCAACCACGGATTCGACAGTTTCGTCGAGCTCCACAGAAACGGTGTCCTCGACATCCTCTGCACAACCCACCACGACGTCCACACTCTCCACACTAACAGCACGGGACCCGGTGAATCCCAGTATGGCGTTGATTTCCTTTGCATGACTTTGCAGAAGTAGTCTGTGTGTGGGCTGCGGGAACACCGACACTAAGTCAACATCGAAGTCCACCAGCACAACTGCCTCCTCGACGACGACTTCGTCCTCCACCACTCTGTCGTCCACCACGTCGGTCACGATGACCACCAGTGCTTCCTATACGAGCTCCTCCTCCAGGATTTGGGAGTCCAGACCGGCCAAGAAAGACACCAAACCGTTGCAGCCCAACATTAAAGTCTCCAAGTACGAAGAGCCATTAGCAAAGCGCCAAGGAAGCTGCTAGAGTGTCTACGGGCTAAGCAAAACGCAAAGCAAAGCCCTAACGGATGTCAGCCAAAGCGCTGCAGAGGACCGGCACGGTGCGGCTCCCAGTCTCCTTTAGAGGACGAGAGAAACAAAGAGCGAAAAAGAGCAGGAGACGGGAAGAACAGGGAAGACGAGGGAAGATGGTTGAGGAGATCAGAGCCATGGGTTCCTCTTGCGATCCGTTCTCTTTCTCTTTCCCTCCGAGTCCTCCCTTCTTCCTCGTGTTCCCCTTCAGTGCAAGAGGCGACCTCTGCCACGGAGACCTCCAGCTCGTCTTTGCCGCTCTGACTGTGGTTTTAACACTTCGCCACAATTATTACTTGTTACCACTCTGCGCCACACTGGCCTCGCGGAATCAACGACCAACAGTTGCAAAGCAGCGGCTTCTGCAAAGCGGAGCTTCTAACTGTCTTGAGTCTCAGTTCGTGCTGCGAGTATATGCCAGGGTGAGCACGACGGCCACCTCGACCGGCACAACCTCTACGTCTTCCAGCATATCCACCAGCTCGAGCACCTTCTCTGACACAACGAGCACCCTCACCAGCATCACCAGCACCAGCATCACCAGAACGCATACATGGACAAGTACCACCACTGAAAGCGCGACCACCAGCACCGCCACTCTAACCTTTGCGGACGGCTTCGGCTACATCTACGGGGAGGCCCCTGAGGGTGGGGCATGTCAGAGGGTTCTGCTCAGTGGCGCAACGCGACAGTCGCTCCGTGGATTTGGAGGTTCGCCTCGGGGCCTGTCCAGACTTGGGCTTGGAGGGCTTGGAGGCCCTTCGAAGCGGCATCGGCTCGGTGGCAGAGGCCCCACTTCCGAATAGTTTCTCTTGAGCAAAGTTTGAGTTTGGTGTGTGACTTTCTTCTTCCATACTTCTATCTGCCTCAGGTGGAGGCCAGCTCCGTCGCGGTCCGGCTCTGCCCCGAGCAGGAGGCGGCTCTTCCTCCCTCACATGCTTCAGCTGAACTTCAGCCTTCCTCTCCGTCACTCCTCCGTCTTTCTCAGTCTCTCTCGCCTCTTCTCTCTCTCTTTCTCTTTCTCTTTCTCTTTCTCTTTCTCTTTCTCTTTCTCTCCCTTTCTCTCTCTCTCTTTCTCTCTCTTTCTCTCTCTTTCTCTCTCTTTCTCTCTCTTTCTCTTGCTGCTTCTGTTTCTTTCTTGTTGCTTTGACTATTCATTTTTTGCTTCTCTTTCTTCTGAGGGCTTGGGTCCCTCTTGCTGCTTCAGGTGGGCCGACGGCTGCAGGCAACGCCTCCGGCTCCCAGCTTGGAGTACAGCATCCACGTCCCCGACGAGAGGCGCGCTGCTCGCATTCCTTTCGTATGTCCGAGTCTGAAAAAACTTTGAGGGTAGCCCCCCTGAGCTCTCTGGGATTCAGGGGGCCCGAGCTCTTCCCGCGAGCCTTGGGCGCCCTCCTGGAAACTACGCCGGCGTCGATGCAGGGAGCTCTCAACGACGCCTTGGCGTCCCGAGGCGACAGACTCAGCCGAATCTGACAGACGTCTGAAGACTTCAGACTTCAGACTTCAGACTTCACTTCTGTTGCAACATCTTTTGGCAGAGGCTTCGCAGAGACCCTGCTCGTCTTGGACGTCTCGGTGTCCTCCGGTGCCCCTCCGACGACACGCGGCTTGGCTCTTTCACTGCAGGGTCACGTGGAATCACGCGAAATTCCGTGAAATCACGCGTATTCACGTGTACTATACGTGTACTCAGGGACGAGTCCGTAAGAGAAGGTAACGCCAGACGATGATGTTCTTCATTTGCCTTTTCTGCTTGGGTGCTGGCCCACCATTTACACATCTTGCCCCGCGCTAGGCTGGTTGGCTGGTTGGGGGTTGGTGCAAAGGCACCTAAGGATCTTTGAGAGAGGAGGGGCAAAAGTCCTCCTTACACCCTAAAGTAGGGAGCTTCATCGAGTCGTAGATGCTCCCGGTTCAGGAACCAGCTCGAGCACCAGCAGCCTCACAGCAACCAGCTCAAGCACCACCAGCACCATCTTGTGCCCGGGAAATCCAGTGTGTGCCGGTGCTGGCAGCTGCGTCCAGCAGGAGAGCGGCGACTGGTCTTGTGCGGCTTGGTCTGGCTTGGTCTGGCTGGGTTCAAGGTTCTTCTTCTTCTTCTTCTTCCTCTCTCTGTCTCTGTCTCTCGCTCTCTCTGTCTCTCGGTCGCTTGTCGATTGCACGCTCTGCCACCGAGGAGTGTTTGGAGACCTTTGCCGGTGAGGATTGCACCGTGCGTGTGTGCCCAACGTGCGCGAACAACGCAAGCTGCCTGGAGAGCTCGCAGGACGCAGACCCGCCAACTGCTTAGGCTTGTCTTGGCACAGCGGGAAAACTGGGAGAGAGGTCACTGGAACCCGCGCGAAGGACTTGGATGCTGTCTGGGGATGCACCTGTGTCGAGCCATACTATGGGCCTCGGTGCGAAGAGATTCGCTGCCCGGGCAACTGCACCAACGCAGGCACTAGCTTTCCAGAGCACGCAGCCTCGTCCAGCTGTCACAAGATTGCACCCGCGTGCATGTGTGCAACGTAGCGTAGCAGCGCAGCAAGCTAGGTGACTGTGACACTGCCACGGGCGAGTGCTCCTGCTTTGCGGGCCATCTGGGCGAGGACTGCGCTGTTAAAGAGGCCGTGTGATGCCGCGTGTGACGCCGGTGTGTCGCGTGGCGCTTGACTCTGCTGTCTCGAAGCATGGCGACGCAGAGGTGCCGCTCACCAATGCCATTCAGATCACCATTGTCTTTGGTCTGCTAGGCCCGCGCAGTGGGTCAGTAAGCTCCATGTCTGTCGCACCTCGTTTGAGTGTTTCAAGTCAGCATTCCTACATTTCCCCGCTTTATCCCACTTTTTAAGTTTCTCTCAGATCCAGGCTACAAGGAGGAGAACAGGTCCGCGCCGGCCTACGACGACTCTGTGGACCTCTGGGCTCCGCCTGCGCAGGCGCGGACACTCGTCGTTTTTTTTTTCCATCGTTTCAAGTTCCTCTGAACACCGGGGACTCTGTGTCCGCGTTTTACGTCTGCGTTTTATGGTTTTGTCATGTTATGTTTCTGTTCATTTCATGTGCCTGCCCTTGGCCAAGGCCCACATGCTGCGAGCCTGCCGCGGCCACAGCTCAGTTGCAGTGGGGTGGCCTTGAGTTCTTTCCGGGGTCGAGATCAGCAGGGTCTAGAGTCTTTCGTTGTCTTTGTCTCGCTGCTATTGTCGCTCTCTTTCTTGTTTTGGAGCATTTCGCCCTGCGAAGCGCCAGGCCTCTCATCTTCTTAAGCTTCGACACAACTTATGGCTATTGGGCCTGCCTCTGCGTTAAAAAATCTAGCGGTCGAACATAAGGGGAGCGACAGTAGCAACATCATTTGACAAGCTTTGTTTGGGCGCAAACTGTTGCTATTTGCCTGCCTAACTATTCTTGTGTTGGAACGAGTGGGCACATATTGGCCAATCAGCTCACTTGTGATTTGAAGAGGGTGCAAAACAGGAGCGGGCTGATGACAACAAATTCCGTCACCCTGTGTCTTAAAATGAGCAGACAATGGGCTTCCATGGACTTCAGACTGAGATTTCAGGGCCCCCTTCAACAGATTGCAGTTTCAGTTGCTCAGGTGTTGAGCTGCTGCCATGTGATTAAACTTGACTTGCTCGAGATGAAGCATGTATTTCGCATATGAAAAGAAGAGTTGCGGAGCTTGCAATCACACGGTTCAGGAGCAGCACTTAATCGGGCATGGATCCAAGATCCAAAAGACTCAGTGGAACCATCTTGGATCTTGGATCCGGGCCCGATAATTAGGTTTCAATCCACCCCTGGGTCCCTCAGGTGGCTCCTCCTCTGAGTTTTCTTGAGGAACTGGGATCCCTGCCCGATGGAAGTTCAATCTTTCAATCGGTGCTTCGACCAACTTCATCAAGTCGTATTTGAGTTGGGCAGCATGCGATGAGTTTGCTGGTTTTGATAGCCACGGTTGGTAAATGCGGTGCGAGAGAATGGCGGTTGAGTTTTGCTTGGCGCCATCTTTATTTCTATGTGTTTTTCTGTGCGGTTGGTTTGTCGTGATTAGCCTTCATATGTCTTTACAAAAAACCCTGCTGATCTCGACCCGGGATGGACACCGCCAGCAATGTCAAACGGTCTAGCGAAACGAGAAATGGAAAGCCGAGGGCAGGGCGACTTGCAGAGACATGTCCCTTGTTCCAGGCAGCGATGCTCGCGCTGATGCAAAGCTGCTGGTGAAGAGCGAGCGCCTCCCCAGCAGATCACACGCCCTGAGCGCACCTGTTCCTCTGTTCCGCTGTTTCTGGCACCAAGGCTCAGCTGCTGGATTGAGAGCCCCTTGGCACATGAGTCGGAACGCCCGCTTCGCCCGCTTCGCCCGCTTCCGCCTGCTTCCGCCTGCTTCGCCGATGCGCTTGTTCTGAGGTTTCGCAGAGTTCATGCCCATTGTCGGAGGCTACAACACTTGCTTGAAAACAGTCGCGCTGTAGGGGGTTTTGCCCTCCAAGACCTCCCGCTTGGAGGAAGCTTCCCCGTGAATGGCAGCATGGCGGAGGAGGCGTTCCAGGAGCGGACATTTGGGAAAAGGGGAGAGCGGAAAAAGGCAGATTAATGCAATATGCGATTGTATGGAACACACGTTGCTGTCAAATGAAGCGATTACGAAGTAGAAATGCGGTATGGTCGTGTGAATGAAGCCAGGCCTTCATGCATCAGAATGTGGCCGTCCAAAAAAGTCTCTTAGCTTTGAGAGCCCCATTTACAAGCTTGCACTCAACAGGGCGGACGTCGCCAGTCAAGGACAGAACCGGGTTCGTGAGTATTGGTCAGCTTTTCATGATGCCTTGCTGTAAGGTTACCAGAACGACGTCAGGACGTCTGGTGAGGACTTCGCCGCGCGGCAGAACAATCGGTCGTCTCTGTTGCTGCGGTGGCGCGTGGCGTGGCGCGCGGCGTGGCGCGTGTAGGGAGCCGTGTCAGGCTGGCCGCCTGATGTTCGCACGGTTGAGGATGCAGGTGCCGTGCCTGCGGATGCCTGTGGCGCAGCACAAGACCTGCTGATGGCTTCTGAAATATCTTTCGGTGTCTCCCAGGTCAACATGGCGGTCAATGCCGAACGGGAGCAGAAGGATGTCATGCGCCGGCGGTGGCAGGAAGCGGGGGGAAGGGGCGCTTTGGTCATGCTTTTGGTCCACTGGTCCACTTGGTCCACTTGGTTTTCAACAGCCACGACGTGCAGGACTTCGTCGATACTTTGAACCTGAATGCGCCACCAGAAGCTGGAGCCATGCTGAGCTTGAATGCACGTTGTACTGTGCATGACTGTACTGTATCCATCTATACCAATGTATACCATCTGCAAGATTCAACGTGCGAGGAAAAGCCATGATGATGTCCTGGGTATGGACGGCCCTTTCTCTTGAGGAGTCTGTGTTTTCCAGCACAATCTTGGCGTTTTCGCTTTCCTTGTCCACTTCGATGGTGGCGGTCGCCCTCTTCACCCGGGATCTTATGCTTGCCTTCTACGTATGCCTGAACATCCTGCTGGTGGTTTGTGTGCTATCAGGCTTCCTGCTGAGCCTCTGCTGCAAGCATCACTCGGAGCAAGGAATTGAGTACACAGCAAAGTGGGGTAATATTTGAGTAGGCAAAGAGTCCCTTAAGAGTGCCCCCCAGAGGAACGTTCTGGGCTATGACTTCGGTGTGGTGGAAGCAATCGGCGCGACGATCTTCGTGGGCTTGAGCGTCGACTACTGCCTTCACCTGGCCCACGGACCCCCTGTTTTTTTTAAAAGCATTTTAAGCGCTTCTGAAGGGCGAACTCCCCGAGAAGTCCCTACCTTTGAACCTGCGAGGATACCACACGGCCAACGCCCGGCAGGCCAAGGTGAGGGTGCACAACGCGCGGCGTGGCAGCAGCTTGAAACTCTCGCCTCTCCATTGACGCTCCAGTGAAAGCCATGAGAACAGCAAAGCTCAGCAGCTTCTCAAGGCTCGTGATGCTGACGCCAACCATACTGGGAGGCTCGAGTCCTTGGGGGGGGGGGTGGGGCACGTTCTCAGGCAAAAGCCCGATTCCACGCAATGTCAGGGGTTTTTGTGTTTTGGGGAGCGCTGAGGTGCTCTGACGACGATTGCTGGCTGTGCATTCCTCCTCCCGTGCCGCATCATCCTCTTTCGATGCTCATCCGCACAGCGAGCTCTGAGTTGCACAGAAAAAAACCAGAGGTAAATGCCTTTAGAGATTGGGCCTTTAGCGCCCTCCAGGGCCGAGAATGCTCCGGGCTTAAACTGAGTCGTGTTGTGTGAGGGGGGAAAGAGCGCGTTCAAAAAGGAAAGCCTTTTCTGCTCATTCTCAAAAAGAGGAAAGCTTGGCTGGACCTTGATGCTGAATGCGATCATTGCCATCACCTACACCTTCACGTTCTTGGCGCCGCTCTTGATGTTGGCGCGCGCCTGTCAGCTTTGGGGGAGGGCCAGCAGGGGGATTCGGGGGGGATTCGGAGAATGAATCGGAAGGGCCAGATATAAAGGATTTTTAATGCTGTTAAAAGAGTGCCTCCCCTTCAATGTCCTTTTTTTTCGGGGTCGCCGATGCAGGCCGGGCCCACCCAGCAAGGAATCAAGCCTGAGGCCATGGCAGGCGTGTGTCGGTGTGTCGCGATGCTTCTCACCTGATGTGTCGGCAGACTGCCTCGTCGCGAGTGTCGGTGGATTGCTTTTGGAGTGCCTGTGACTGTCCTGCGACTCGTCAGTTGCTGCAGGATACCTGGATAGAGGTTCGGCCAGTTCGGGCAGCCCCACGCAGTCTTTTGCAGCAGTCACAAGCCGCTTCGCAGCTGCCCCAGAAGGTCTCTCTCTCTCTCTCTCTCGCTCTCTTGTTGTCATGGTGTTTTTCTCTTGCAGTTGGGGCAAGCGCATGTCTGAGTATGGTTCCATGCTTGGCCGTCGGAGGGCCGTCGGAGGCAGAGTAGGCCACCCCCTTGCAAGGTCCAGACTGAGGTGGTGCCAGATCCCACATGCATCGCCTCCCGCCTGCACCGCTGCACTGCTGGTTTCGGAATCTTTTTTTGTGTGCTGTGTGATGTGCTGTGTCTGAGCACTTCTGCTTCTTTGTGAGGGCAAAGCAGCGCACCCTGGCTGCACCTTTGAGTTCGGCTGCCCGGGCTAGCGGCGGTTTGCAACGCTGTGTTCTGTGCCACTCAATGCCCACCCCACATGTCAACAACGCGCCGTTTCTGTTGGGGCCATTCCTCTCAAAGAACTCCCATCTCGGGATCCCTCTGCTCTGGAAGGACAGGGGAGCCGGCCACGTTGCGAAAGTCTGCCTCGTCGTCTTCATCGCCAGCTTCCCGGACTTGCCTTGCCTGCACTTACCCATCTTTCTCCCGAAAACCGCCCCGCGCGCGCAAAAAAACCAAGGCCCGTTACCGCTCGTCTGCCGATCCAGCCTTGCACCGAGCCTGTGAAGATGAAAGTGTGTGAAGCTTCGGTGAGGTCCTTGAGTCATCACGATGAGGCTCCTTAGCATTCCTTTGCACGATCTTGCACGCAGCAGGGTGGAATCGGGCCGGCCAGCGTGGACCAAGCACGTAGACAAGGACACTTGCAGCCACTCCGCCCTCATGTAGACTTCCCAGGTGCCTCACTCGCTTCCCGCTGACCTGACTTTTTGAAGCCCAATGGTCATCAGAGCAAAGTACAAGCTTAGAAGCTCGAAGACAGCTGCACCGCTTGCCTGCAGCGTCGTGTGCGTGGTCTGGCAGTGGTCTGGAGTCTGGAGTGTGTATGGCATGTTGCGAAGTACACCGGACATGCCGGATGAGCACTAGTGGTCGATGCATGCGGGTGTTCGAGTTCCGAAGCCAGGAGTGAGACCTGGTTGCTGGTGGTGAACTCTGGCACTCTGGCATTGCATCGGATCCGCCGTCTGGGAGCCGATTCTCGAAGCACCTTTCCATGCAGGTGCCTGCAATTCAGAAGCAATGCATGATGTTTATTGGGTTGCTCGGTTTCCTTTTATGCGATAGATAGCTGTGATAGCTGTATATGTTTGTAGATATGTTGATTTGCTTCTTCGCATTTATACTTCTGTATACAAACGGATACGCCATTCCAGTGGCCAGTGCGTTGGTTTTTCAGCGGTGCAGCCGGCTCTGCTAGTAGAGCAGAAAGTGCTGCAAGGCTCTGATAATGACCTGATAATGACCTCGGCAGCTTCAGAAGAAGGCTGACCGGCCGTTGGCGCATGCCAAAGGCACGTGCCTTGGGTGTGTGTGGGGATGAGAAAAAAGGCAAAGCATATGCATCACATGTCATTGCGGCCCTTGTCACCTCATCATTCGATCAGAACCACATTCCCTTCCTTGGACCAGGCACGTTCCGACCGTCTTGGCTGAAGGCCGGAAGGCCATAGGCAAGCATTGTGTGGTATTGCAAAGGCTCTCTTGTTTCATCATGGCATATCTCAGTGCAGCAGCAGCCAGCACCTGTTCGCACATGTTGGTTCATAGCTCATGTTGGCACCTGAGCAGCTTTCCATTACACTTCCGGTGCTCGTGGGACCCATGCGCATCGACGGGGAAACGCCATGGAGCTGAAGGCCCAATCATGCTCCATGACACATGTTGCGCGAAAACATGCGGCTGAACAAGTTCTTCTTCTGCAGGTTGTCCCCGCCTTTTTTTGGGGGTCGCCTTCCAGGTCTCATGTGTGCGCTTCGGCCGGCCACCGGACCGAAGCAAGCCACAGCCGCGCTTTCCAGGGGCCCGACGCTCTGGATGCCTTTTTCAGGATTTGCCAGGGCCAAGGCTCCATAGGAAGGGCAGACATGGGTGGGGTATGGTTGTATGGCATGGTACCATGGTGCCACCAAGGTCTCAGCGACTTTCGATCCTGCAGCAGCGCTTGTGGCCGCTGACTCAGCTTCTGCTTCTTCAAAACAGCAGGGCGGCTTCCATGGCTTCTCTCTTGCAACCCCCAGACAGGTTTACACGGACATCTTGAAGAAAGAGAAGGCCTCGAGGGCCTCTGGCCACGGTGTCTGTAGATAATTAGTTGGCTGCCTCCTGTTGACAGTCGATCTTGTGCAGCCGCGATTCGGTGCCTCGGATTCCAGACCTGCAGTTTCGGTGCAGTACCGCAGTATTCGTCGGAAAGCATGATTGACATGATGTTGGGTTTGTGGACATCGACCCATCACGGAAACTCGACATAGCGGTTCTCCTCTTGTTCAGATTCAGGTTCGGGGGGGGGGGGTGGAGCCATGGCCCGCCGTGCCTGGCAGGAGCTGCGTGCGGATTTGCTGCGGGGGCTCTGTGCGCCGTCCGCTTCGCCAGCTTCGCCAGCTTCGCGCCTGGAGCTGCTGGAGCTCGTCCGCGGCACTGGCGAGGCCCAGCGGCGCCTCGCGGCGGCGGAGGCGCTTCGGCGCCAGGAGCTGCAGGGCGCGGCCCACGCGGCCCCGGGCCAAGTCTTCTGGGCACGTGCGCGGCTGGCCTCGGTGCTGGACCTGCAGCGGCGCCACGAGGAGGCCCAGTCTCTGCTCAGCCCGGAGGGCTCAGAGGGCTCAGAGGGCTCCTTGGATCCTTCGCACCGTGCCGCCGCGGCCTTGCTCTCGGTCATGGTGCGGAGGCATCTCTGGTGGCAGGAGTGTCGGACTCGGAAGACCTCGAAGAAGTCGCCATCGAAGACCTCTGTGGAGGTGGTGCGCATGGATTCCACGGAGTCCACGTCGCGAGCAGAGCTCTGGGAGCGATTTCTCGTGCCGGGCGTTCCCTGCGTCCTGCGGGGCCTCGACTTCGTGCCACGCTGGGCGCCTGGGCAGCTTCGGGAGATGCTGAAGAACACCCGGGTGCCTGTGCGCTTCTGCCAAGACTCCTCGGCCAACTGGGCCAGGCCCAACACTACATGGGACACATGATGGCACATGATGACAGGTCACGGCGCTCTAGCTCCGAGCTAAGTCAGGAGTCAATTTCTGTGTCAATGCTGTGTCAAGCCTTGAGCAGGCTTGAGTTTGCGGGAGCCATGACCTTCTCGGAATTCTACGATGCGCACATTGAGCCCTACGATGGGGCAGCCGCTCCCCGGGGTGGCCTGCAGCTCTTTGACCATTCCATCTGGCAGCACTGCGAGGACAGCCGCGTCGGACAGGAGACCGGGCATAATGGGGCCTGCGAAACTATGATGCAACGGATATTGCCGGGATGCCTTTCTTTTCTTTCTATGAAGGCTTGTGATCTACTTCACACCAGAATTTGGGCTCTTAAAGACTTAAGAAAAGTCCACAAATTCAACGTGCTCTCACATTGCAGGAGCTGCGGGTGCCGAGCCAGGTCTTTCCAGTGGACTTCTACACCAGCGCCTCAGCGCGTGTCCATCCCGTGACCGGCTCAGCTGGGCCCACATTGTTTCTTGCGCCACGGGGGACCGGATCGTCTCTTCATATTGATACTCTGCAGACGCACTTCTGGATGATGCTGTGCCATGGGAAGAAACGTTGGCGCCTGGTGAGTAGAGACGACGTGCCTTTCCTCCATCCGCTGTATTTGACGGACCTGAACCCGGTCTTTCCGACGGACTTGAATGCTCTGGAGGCCACTGCCTCTGGCAATGCCTTGGGCAGCTCCGGTGAGGCTCTTGCCCAGGTCAACGCGGAGATGTCGGTGCACGAGGTGTTGCTGGAGCCCGGGGACCTAATCTTCGTCCCCGCGGGTTGGCCACACCAGGTGGACAACCTGGAGACCTCGGTGGCCGTCAGCGCGAACTTCGTGGACTCATCGAACCTGGCGCGGTCCCTCGAGGAGGCCGAGGCCCTCGGTTTGGTGGAGGAGACGCCGCAGCTCATGGCCGAGGCCATGCGCAGCGCCGCCAGCGCGATGCCGTCGGAGTCGGAGCCGCTGCCAGAGGCACCGGAGACGCTGCGGGCCTTTAAGGCACGGCACGGGGAGCGCCGGGCCCCGTGGGAGGTGCAACAGCTGCTCACGCGGGCACTGCTGGCTGTGGGTGCCCTGGCGTGCGCCGCTGTCTGGGCCGCCTGCAGCTGGTATGCGGGGGGCTCCGGGAAGCCCCTGGCTTCGGCAGAGGTGCCCAACGAGGAGAAAAGAAATGAGCAAAGAGAGGGGAAGAGCCGGGAAGAGCCGGGAAGGCACGCCAGGAGGCAGAGAGGCCCATGCGAGGACGTGCCTTGCCAAGCGACCTAGCTTTGCTGGCTTTGCGAGCTTTGCGAGCTTTGCGACCCGCGCCAGGCTTTGCTTGCCGAAGGGCTCTTGATGGAAGAGCGGGTGTCGAAGGCCAGTTGAGCTTTGAAAGTTGAGAGCTACCCCGGAGTGGGGGGGGGCAAGTTGAGAGGCGAAGACTCGGACAAAGCAGAACCTTGCTGACCCTCTGGCCTGACACCCGGTGTGAATATTTTGTGATGCCCGGGCAGAGGTGCTTTGAGACTTTGAGATGTCTAAAGAGAGGGTGCTGTCGGAAGGTGGCGGTGCAAAGTCAGCTGGGAGATGTCTTGCCAGGTGCGAAACCTCCAAACATCCCTGAAGTCAGCGTGGGCCAGTGATAGGCTCTGATAGGCTAGCCCCCCCAAACTTTAAAACCTGCAAGCCCAGGCTACGCCTCTCTGGGAGATTTCTGCCAAAACTTCGGGTACTTTCGCCACCCAACCTCTGGCAGCGATGGCCTCGGAAGCTTCGGAGTGCTTCAATTGAGCATCGCAGTTTTCTCATATATTCTCATAAAAGGTGTGTTCAGAGTTCATGTCGCACTGTTCTTGTCAAGACAGGGCTGGGCACTGAGGTTTCGTGCCGAACGGCGACGAGAGCCACGGCCCAGGTTGTGCCCCGTGGGGCGCAGGATGTAATATGTGAGTGAAGGTACACGGGCACAAAGGTCTGCAAAGCCGATCGCAACCCCAAGGAAGGATAGTTCAGGCATGTTCGGGCCCCACTTTGCTTCATGTACGCTGTTGACGGCTGAGGCAATTTGTCGACACAGATGCCGGAGGACCAGCTTTCGTGCAGTCAGTGCTGCTGCTGTTGCTGTTCCAAGCTGTTCGGCGCTGTTCTGAATGCCGCGCAGTTTTCTTTGTCGGCATGAAGCTGCAGTATCTCACGCGCGACTGCGCACATCAAAAGCATCAAACAATTGAGTGAGAGATGCTCCGAGATGGGCCCTCCCAAGCGGAAGCCATGGCTCCCCTCCGTGTGCCTCTTACTGGCCGGGAACCCCTTCAGTGCTGGAGGTCCCGCTCGGGGTCCCGCTCGGGGTGCTCTCCGGCAGCATTCGCGCCGAATCGCTGGGGTGCAACAGCCAGGCTAATTGAACGAAGGGGTCCTCTTGGAAATGGCCCATGCAACTAAGACCCGAGAGCCCGCCAACGCCTGTTTCAGCCCTGGCCGGGCGCTGAAAACCCTGGGGACGCTCGGCAGCTTTTCAAGAGCCCTTCTCTGAAGCTTTTTGGAAGCCTTTTGGAAGCTTTCTTTTGGAAGCCTTTTTTTGGCAGCCTCCGAAGATCCAAGCGCAAGAGCTCAGGTCATGGACGAACCGAGCGTGTTCGGCCGTAAGCAGCGCCGTGTGCCGCCAAGCCAACGTCCCCTTAGCGGACCTCTCGGGGGTGGAGCGGGATCGTGCTGGAGGCAGATTGACGCGCACGAGCGCACAGCCCACATAAAAAAAAGTCAAAAGATATGAAAGTGACGTGAATGAAGCGCAGCTTTCCCTCTCAGGGCTGTCGGCCCTCGTGGGAGCTCTGCTTGGCCACTCGGCCTGCGTCGCCTTCCTCATGGAGCACGTTGAGGCGGCCCGGCGCGCCGGAGGCTGAAACGCACGAAGAGAGGAGAGTACATGAGAGAAACGGAGAAGCGTGAGAGAAGTGTGCTACTCTCGAGCTCCTTCTCGGGGGTTCCCACTTCGCAACTCTTAGCTCATGAACATTCTGTGAGTTGGCCCCAAATGCAAGTGGAGCACTCCAGTTGCATCACGTGTGACACGGGCGGCACATGACCAGAACCCCAGGTGATGCTCATGTTTCCGACCCCGGCGTCATGAATTCTTCTTACTCCTCTTCTTGGTGTTCGCCCTCTAGTGCTCCTCTCTTCATCATCTCTGCTTATTCCAACGCCATCCGGCACCTCTTCTTTCCAGCATTTCTCCAAAGTGTCCGTCTCGTCTCCTCATCTCCTACTTCCTGTTGGGGGCATCTTCTGCCTCGCCTTTCCGAGGTCCACCCGCTCCTCTACGAGGGGAACTTGGACCGCTGCAAGGTGCCCTTCGGCTCCCGCCGGCCTGGCCGCACAGAGAGAGAGAGAGAGAGAGAGAGCAGAGACAGAGCAGCGGGCCAGCGTGGTCCTCTTAGGGGGGGCCTCTTCGCTGGGCAGAAGAAGAAGAAGAGCAGAGACGAAGACAGCTTCGACTCTTCTTTGACTCGTCTATGGTGAGTCATATTTTATGAGGGACATTTTTTGTGCTTCTTGGTTTTTTTGGACAGCATCCATATCGGAGCTCCCTCCAAAAGCGAGGCGAGCTGCTGGCCGAGAGCTTCGGCTGGCTCCGCGCGGCCGCGCAGCTGACCACGGAGGAGGCGGAGGTGCGCAAGCGAGCGCGAGAGCGAGCGAGAGAGAGAGGAGAAGAAAAAGGGGCGATGGATGCACCGATCATGCGGAGACCACGCGGTGAGTCCCCCAAGAGCCGGGAGAGGGGGAGGGGGGGGGGTCGATAGATGATGCAGAGATCTCACGCGGGGCGATGCATCTCGCGGTCGGCCTGGGACGCGAGGTCGCGGCGGGCCTGGACGCCGCGATGTTGGTGGAGTTCATGGACCTGGCGATGTGGATCCTGGCCGTCCAAGCCTTATACAGTATATCATAGTATATCGTCCAAGACCACGATTAAAGCCGAAGCCTAGCGCGGAGAGCGGAGTGCGGCACGCACCGTGTCGGAGGTGATCGGCCTGCCCCTGATCTGCGTGCTTTGCCCGCTTCACTGCCCGCAAGCTGCATTCAAGTCCGGTGCATGTCACGATGAGAATGAAGCGTGCCCAGATTTCTGCGGCACCATGGTGCAAGAGGACAAGCTCAGCTGGCCGGCGGCTTAGGACACCGGACCACCCTCGACATGGCCATGGGACTTTGCAACAGACGAGGGGTGCTGATTCCTTCTCAGGATTGGAATGGCGAATGTGGAGCACGGCATCTCGTCATGTCGTCGCATTGCACGAGTTCGCTGCAAGCAAATGTCAGGGTTTGAGAATACCGGGTTGGCACCAGTTAGCCCAGGCTACCCCACATCACCCGATGCATTTCCGTGGTCTTGTTGCATGTTGACCTTGACAAGTGTTCATGAGGAGCATCGACACCACATGCAATCGCCCCGCACGCACCTTCCTAGCCCCAAAGCTGGATGCAGGCAGCTGGCTCTGTTGGCTTCACAGCGGCATTGCTGCCTGCCTAGACCGAGACTCTCCATCACTCTGCCTACGCCAAAATCCTGCAAGCTCAAAGTTGGAGCTTCGGGTTTTGGCTGCAAAGTGTTTTGTGAGTGTGTGACGCTCAGAGCGAGGTTTGGTTCGTGGTCCTGGTGGTGGAGAAGTCGGTGGGTATGGCCCAGGGTGCTTTCCTGGTGCGGAGGGTGCACTGGCTCCGGGCGATGCCGCCACCCAGGTCCAGGACCTGTTGACGAGAGGCGAATAGAACGAGCCCGATAAGAGGCGGGAAGATGACGCTCCGAAGCAGAAAGACGAAATGCGAATACCAGTAAGATCAGGAATGCCAAGGACTGAACGCCAATAATGTAACACATTAAAAGTTATCTCGAGAAACATATCCCCAGCAGCGACAGAACACGAAGCAACACAAGCGTGTGTAGTAAGAACGTACGTCGAAGACAAGGACGAGAGCAGAAGAGATGAGAAGTCATGGCGATGCCGGGCATTTGCTGCAAGTTCCGAAGGACCTTGCTGGTGGAACACATCCCGCCGGAGTTCTGTTCCAACGACAGCAGCTCGAAGAAGTGAGCGAGAGGGGGCGGACTTCCGATTCGGGTTGTTTGAATAGGGGGGGGGGGGCGGGTAGGGTTTTGTGCGTGCTCCTGTTCTCCAGGCTTAGCGGCTTACTTCAACTCCGTCTTCGGACGCGAGGTGGTCGAAGTCGCCCACGTCACTCGGAGCACGCAGGCCGAGCCCCAATTTCCACCCTGCAGCCCGTCCAGAGGTGTGTTTCTTTTTCTTTCTTTCACAGAAGAATCCCCCAATGTGACGCGGGAGGCCCTCCGAGGTCTGCTCTCCAGCGTGCGCCGGGCCGAAGAGCAGCTCCGCGAGGCAAAGCGACAGTGTGAGACGAGACCACACAGAGAGCCTCTGAAAGCCCTCATCGATTCATCCGATCAGTGCCAGGATCAGTGGCTGTTTTTGCTTTTTCTGAGCCCAGTGTCGCTTTATCTCTGTGCTTTCTTCTGGCCCAGGGGGAGGCCTTCCTGGAGAGGACGGGCCGCAGCCACCAGAACTGCAAGAGACATTAAAAACACTCCCCAATACCTCAATACAGAGTTAAGTTTATACATGTCACATGTTTATTAACTCATTTTGGACTCCTACTGGCATCTGGCGACAGTCGCCGATGAAATGCCTTCATCCCAGGGCCTACGATGATGAAGCCGAGATCTGTGCAAGACTTCACCCTCGACAGCCCCATGCGTGGTGAAGTGCGGGACACGATCGACCACTGGTCCGAGGCAGGAAGACATCAGAACTCAGAGTGCCCCTGCCCCTCCCCTTTTCTTCCTCCTTTCCTCACTGAAAGACCGCCTCAAGCCGCTATTCGTCTTGCAAAACCCATGTGATGGTGATGAAGTTTCACAAGCCGGACCCGGACGCGACAGGTGCGCCTTGCGCGCAAGGGAGGGAACCCCCCCAAACTCAGCAGAAGAAGAAGAAGCGACAAAGGGAGAGTGAGTTTCGCGAACTGGGTTTCTCGAGGAAGTCTCACGGTGAAACCGCACTTCGAGCGCGCTTCGGGCGAGGAAGGTTCTTCGGGGGCTCCTCATGCCCAGAAGAAGAAGAAAGAAGAAGAAAGAAGAAAGAAGAAGAGGAAGGGACTCGGCCGCAACGCCAAGTGGTTCCTTGTCTGGAAGATTCTCTCTTCCTGCTCTGCTCCTGCTCCTCCTCCTTTTCTTCTGCTTCTGCTTCTTCTTTTGGGTCCGTTCGGAAGTCAGCGTACAAAAGAAGAGCCGTGGAACATGCTGCGCTTACATTTTCTATCTCATGTTCTTTCTTTTTGTCCTCCTTTCCTTCTTTCATGGGGCCTTCTTTCCAGGGCGAACGTAGCCCCTTTGTTTGGGAGGGGCCGAAGGCGCGCATCCACCGACTCTGTGGGGGGAAGATGCACCCGAGGGGACCCTGGCCACGGTTCGCACAGTCCATGAAACCGACACTGTATCAGCATCAGTGGAGAGCACGGAGTGACTCTTTTTGGATCGGCTCCCATTCCCCGTTCGGGGGCGGCCAAGCGTGTAGAGAGAGAGAGAGAGAAAGTCCCGACAAACGGATCTTCGGACTTCGCGCGCACCTGGGGGCGGCTCTCCTCTGCAAGGGCGGGGGGCGGGCATGCGTGCAGGAGAGAGAGAGAGAGACATCGGCCCGAAAGCGGTGATAGGATTCCACAAAAGAACAGACCGGGGCGCGCGTCAGCGCGGAGCCCTGCTCCATGCCCCAAAGAAAAGAAAGAAAAGAGAGAGTCCCGGTCGACATCGGGGTCACGGACTTTAACCGACGTGCGAAGCCGGACACCGCTGTTACCCTCTGGAAGAACGGGGACGCCAATTCTATCTGCGATATCCCTGAACGAACTGAACACCGGGACCAAGACCGCTAAACCGCTTGGCCATCGCGGCCGGAGCCTCTCTGCGGGGAGGGTTCCTGAAGCGTGCAGCAGAAGAAGAAGGAGAAGAAGAGAGAGAAGATGTGACTCCAGAGTAGAAGGAGAAGACTGGGAAGACTCGAATCATCGGAGTGAACACCTGTGACCTGCGTGAACACGAATTTTGATCTCCAAGCCGAGCTCTGCAGAGGTGCTGCAGACGGAGCGCTCGTTGGAGCCTCAGCCTGGCAGATGGAGGTGGACGTTCTGAGCGTGTGTGCGGGAGCAATCGAGGGTCTCTCTTCGCAGTTCTACAGCCATCTCCCACAGCAATGTGCATTCTAAGCAAAGCCTGTGTCCGCTCAGGGCCTTGCTGGCGTCAGTCTCAGAGTCCCACACATCAGACTGCCCAGCTGTTCGAGTTGTTCTTGTTGAAGCTGAATTTTCTCCCCACATCGAGTGTTTGCTTTCCTGTCTTGGGTCTCTGAAGGCGGAGGAGCGCCGGCTGGGACTCCGAGAAGCAGCGGAGCCCGACTTCGTCCGAGCTTGGGCCCCAAATGACAGGAACGGTTGTGCTATTCAAGCTCTTCTGAGATTCCGCCCAGCCCTTCAATTGAAAAGATCATGCTTTGTGGTAGACCTGCCTGGGGCCCATCCCGTGACTTTGGGGGCCTTGGCCTTTTTGTTGCGCTGCGCTTTTCTCATGTTTTTCTCTCCCTCCGAGGCCTACTGCGCCAGCGCCTTCGTGACCTTCTGGAGCCGGCGGGATGCGGAGATCGCCCTGAGGGTCCAGTACCGGGCGGATGGGCTCCAGTTCGTGGTCTCAAGTGCTCCGGCACCAGATGATGTCCGGCACCAAGACCTGGAGAGCCTCAGCCCAGACCTTAAGAGACTTCCTGAGATTGAAAAGATTTCCGCATCAGGCGCATACTGAAGGGCAAGCTTTACTTACAACTCTCTTTAAGGAAAGGCGGCGCTGCCTGGGGAGAGACGCTCATGGGCTACTTGTGCATACTCTTCTTGTTTTGGGTGTTTGCGCCTTTCATCATCGCCTTCTCCGCCGTGGCCCAGCTGGAAACATTGCAGACGGTTGCCCAGAGCTCAGTACCGCTGCATCATCGGGGCATCATCTGCTGTATGGATTCTGGATTGCAGTCTTCAAGTGGGAAGGTCCCCAGCCTTCACAACATTGTGACCTATTGGCCGATTCTGCGCTCACTCTGGGACGGTCTGGCCAGCACTTTGGCGCTGGCCCTCTTCATGAGCAGCTTGTCGGATTCTGTATTGGGCTCCCTGTAGTTGCTTGTTCATGCGCCAGAAATGGGCAGAGCAACTCTGCGGATGCCTTGACCAACCGAGGTTCCCTGCCAGCCCTGCTCATGGTCATCTGCAGCCACCTTTTTGTGACGAAATCTGAGAGACGGCACCTCGGCAAGAACTTGAGGCGTAGAACCTGGTTCTCAAAGGACACTCTTGCTCACAAACCCTGAATCGCAGGTGTCAGCTGGAGGTACAGAGTTGGTACTTCTTCTTCCTGGTGGTCTTCGTGCGCCAAAGAACATCTCGGCGCGAGAGACTCCTTTCGTTTACAATGCCATGTGTAGTTGCCATGTTCGTCCAAGTTACATGCCGTTAACACGGAGTTTTCATGCGGGGGAAGGTACTGCTGGTGCCTGCCGTGGGGTCGTCGGTTTTCTACACGATGAGCCGTTTGGTGGATCATCCCAAGGCCCTCCACGCAACTGGTTCCAAAAACCTGTTAGCGCGTTGTTTGCTAAGCCGCCTCAATGGTGCTCAGACGCCGTGACGCAGGAGATCTTCTCGCTCCTGGCCTCGACGCTGCCATACACAACGCACTTCTACCTCAGCTACTTTCCGCTGCAGTGCACCTTTCAGGTGCACTGCAGCTTTGGACAAGGGCTTCGTGCAACCATGGGAGGGGAGACATGTGGACAGGTGCTGGAGGCTGCGCGCTATCCCATCGCGATGAAGTACCTGGCCATGAAGGTGCTCCGGGGTGAGTTGGGGGCAATTCCTGTTATTGCATTGCAAGTCAGCGCATCCCTTCCGCTCTGGCACTCTCAAGTCAGAGTCCCTGATGATGCTGGCTTGTGGTCAAGAAATGGCTGCTGGCAAGCTGGATGATGATGCATGACTCTCTCATCCCTCTGATGCTTCACCCAGATGTTTGCTGCATCTGAGTTGTGTCTGCAAACACTCGCATGTCGCCTGCGGTGCCATCTCGTGCCTGAGAGGCACTCTATGGTGAGGAGCACGCCAAGGCCCTCTGCGAACCAGAGGACCAGGCCTACTATGGCATAGGCTCGCGTGTGCAAATCCGTGTGAAAATCATAGGGGACGAAGAGATTCGACCATTGCGAGGGTTGTGAAGTTTGCAGTTTTGCATGGTGGTCGCGGGGGTGCACATATCCACCGAAGCTGAAGCCGCATTTTGAAGAGACAGGCGGTTTGGATGGGCTTAGGCGAGGTTCCGGAGAAAGGTCTGCGAAGACACGTGTGCTGACCACAATGCTTGGTCATGTTAATCCCAGACACGGTACCATACAGCTAGGCGAAGACAGCGAAGACAGCGAAGACAGCGAAGACGCGAGGGCGTCCGGGGACACTTTCCGAAGAACACTTCAGGGATCCCTGACCCAGACATTTCCCCGTGCCCCAAACCGTCGGGCCGTTCCCTCCTTCCCCAAAACCCCTTCTTGCGTGTTCTTATCCTCCTGCTGGGGAGGTGCTCGCTCCGCGCGCTGCTCGCTCCTGCTGTCCATGGCCCTCACCTTCTGCAGCTTGTCCCCGCTGATCTGCGCCCTGGGCCTCGTCAGCTTCGGCCTCTGCCGGCTCACCTACGGAGCCTTCGGCGGCGTGTGGAGAAGAGAGAGAGAGAGAGAGAGAGAGCTCTTGGTTTAGCCAAGAAGCTTCTGCCAAAGGTTTATACGCTTTTGTTCGCATAGTTGCTTCTCTTTTTTGTGAAAGCTCTGCCCGCTGATTTTTTGGGCGCTTCTTGTACCTCGTTCATAGGCTACTTGCTGGTCTACTCGGAAACGATAAAGCCGGACCTGGGCGGCGAGTTCTGGTGCCTGCAGCTGCAACACCTTCAGAAGAGCCTCTTCCTCTACGCGGCTTGCATAGTGACAGAGTGGTTGACAACCGGTTTGGGGAGCTTTTTTAGAGGACGGTTTCGAGATCTTCGAGAGTCTCCTGGCAAATTGCCTCTCAGGTGGTGTTGATGACAAGCGTGCTCTTGGAGAGGCCGGGATGTGTGACCACACCGCGAGCACATTGTCAAATTGTGACCTCATCACGTACCGGAAGGGGTGCCCCTCCCCCATATCTCTAGCAAAGGGGAAAAGCGAGAAGTCGAGCGAGAAGTTGACTCTCAGAGTTCGAGGTCCGACTCTTTGGGCCCTCCAGTGATCGCCGCCTGCAGTGGTGCAGCTCTTCTGCATCCTTCAGCTCTTCCTTCAGTCTTTTTCCAGTCATCCTTCACTTCACTAGACGCCGCCATCCGCCCTGATTGGGCTAAGGGCTCAGTGCTTGTCGGTGCTTCTTGCAAGGTCATGCTCCTACATCAGTACCTCCAGTTCAAGAGGAAGTACCAGTGGCGATGCTTGCCCTTTGAGGCGCACGGGGGGGGGTAGATTGTTAGACGCAAAGGTTCTGCGATACTTGAATTTGAGAAATTTTGAGAACTGTTGAGAACCCAGAGCAGATGAAGAGTGACAAGAGAAGGACCTCGTGCACGTCGACGACGAGGCACGCATCTCGACCACCGGCGTGGAGTACCAGCAGCTGGAGCTCCGCCAGGGCACTTGACTTACCACAGGGTGCCATGGCCGCACGGCCTGAACCTTCTCTTCAAGTCACTCTCGGACGTAAAGGACACTGCCCTGGCTTTTCCGTGTCGTGTGACTCTACTCATTACACCCAAAAGAGCGTGAACATATGTTTGTATATTTGACGGTTGCCGACCAAAGCTGCCATGCCGCACGGACCTCTTCAACTAAGCTTGCAAGAAGTGTTGTGAGGGCATCAACAAGCTGGGCGGGTCTACAGGGACTCGGAGTGGACTCGTATCGGCCTCTAGGCCTCGGGGCATGCGCGGAGCTCCTGAAAGTTTCTGCCTGTTCCCGGGATCCCCTCCGAAGCCTCCAGGACCGAGGGTGCTGCAGAGGGCTCGAGGGCCCATTTCGTGGGCCCGTGGGGGGTGGGGGTAGGGGGGGTGCTCCAGGAAGGATGGCGGAAATTCTTTCGGCATCCGCTGCCTGAGAGGACGCTCAGGCTTTCTGGGCGCGGGATTCTTTTATTTCAACATGCCTTGAAAGCTCCTGGCACGGGAGTTCTTGTTTTTGGGTTTACACGGCGAAGCTTCACATCCCGTGAACCAGCCTCGTTTCCCACCTCCTTGTCACTTCAGCAAGGAAGCAGAGAATGGGTTCAGGCGCTTAGGGATTGCTGTAGATCTCGCCGGCGCGTTGTTTGGCAGACCGCAGGAGTTGACTCGGCTGGGCACCGACCTCGTGACGTGATGTTTGCAAGTGGCAAGTGCAGACTCAAGAGCGCCCAGACCGTGGAGAAAGCGGTCGGGCTCCCCGCTTGGGAACTCCAAGACGGTCTGACAGACGGCGGAGCGACAACGCGGCAGCAGCTCGACGTAGTGAGCCTCAACGAACGTCAGTGAAAGCTTGAAAGCTCCTGTACGGGGGCTGTTTGGACGGTGCTGGTTGGCTGTGCAGAAGAAGGGACGAAAGAAGGCTCTTGCAATCTCCGGTGCATGCCACATCATGCCACAGTCCGCTTGCAAATGCCAGTTCAAGTTCGTGACACTTGGGGTCTGCAGTCGTCTTTTAGAAGGATCTGGCATCGATGATGCCAGATGCCCAGAGTGGAGCTCTTTGTTTTGTTTTGCGGAGAGTCCAAAAAAGAACAGTAACCCAAAAACGAGAGTCTTTCGGAATCACCTCTTCTCTTCAGGGGGAAGTCCCGGGCGCCCTCCGGCGGCGCCTCCTTCACGGTGCTCTCCTCCTCGCCGCCCGCGGCGCAGTTGGCGCGGAGCCGCTCCGTGCCCTCGGCACCGGCCCGGGGCCCAAAAAAAAGCCCCCCCCCCCCCCCCCCAACTCTTTCACGAGTCAAGCAAAGAACTCTCGTAAGACCCTGGTAAGAGAGTTCCGAGTGTCGCCCCGAGGTGGCCATGCTTGGTCAGTATGGTCAGTTGCCAGAGGGCGCGTGTGCCGCGAGCCCAAAGGGCCAACAGCTCTTGGGCACGGCTCCCAAGCCGAGCCGCCGGGAGGCGCTCCCAGACCCCGAGCCCTTCCCCCGCCGGAAGCTCAAAAAGCTGCAAAGCTTAAAGACATTTAGAGACTCTCACGTGTTCGTGAACCATTTCACGTACGACTTCGAGCCTTGCGCCGTTTGCCGTGGGCGGCCTTCGCAGCCTGGCACTTAGGTCGCCGTGCGAAGCTCGAGCGCCTGCTGCCGGGACCTGAGGACACGCGCGGCTCTCCTAGCATGGATGCCTGACATTGCCTGACTAGTTACAAAACATGCAATGCAATAAACACACGGCCTACAAGCAAGTGAGGTGAGGAACTCCTTACCTGCCAGCAAGATGTGCTCTGGGGTTTCCACAGCAAAACTTGTTTGTTGCGGGGCCAATGGATACACAGAATGATTGTTTGTTTCTCTACATATACTCTTTTGGAAGTTTTAGTAGGGATCGTGCCGGTGCTTTGCCGCAACGGACCACGGAATGCCCCTTCCGAGCTCATCCGCTTTCACCCTGGAGTACACGTATCAGCGATGATCAACTTTAAGCTCCCGCTTGAGGCCTAGAGTAGGGCGGGCCCAGAGCCTTACGACTCGCGTTTAAGATGCATCCAGCCAGCCAGGCAGCGAGCAGGAGGCGAAGCGCTGGCGACTTACTCGAATCAGCGAGCCCTTTGAGCTCTGCACACCCTGTCCGCTGCTTGAAGCAACCCTTGTCATGACCGGAAATTTTTTTCGCTCTCTCTAGCAGGTCACATCGTCAAGAGCCGAAGCAATTCGAAGCAAGACGAAGCAACATGATGCATGCGCACGGCTTTTTACTCTGGTTAGCTACAGTAAGGTCTGTGCGCGTAGCTAGTAGTTCTGAACCCATCAGCCCATCAACCCCTGCAACCCCTGCAGCCCCTGCAACCCCTGCAACCCCTGCTACTTTCTAGTTCGAGCGCCTTCTGGCGGGGCGCGGCCTTGCGCCATGGCCCCGTGGCCGATGTGATCGGCAGCTCTCAGAGGTACGAAGGGGGGAGCCAACTAGGGGAGAGAGACTGCTCTCTTTTGTCCTTCTCATGTCAGTCCTTCTCTCTTTCTCTTTCTCTCTCTCTCGCGCCAAGCCTTCTGTTAAGCCTACAGCCCCCTAGGGGGGGTGCTCCGCGGAAGTGCTTCCGCAATCTGCAACATTGCAACATTGTACTGTGGCACGCGCGGTATAGGCTCCTACACGATGGGCTGTGACACGGGAGACGCTTTGGGCTTCTAGGACGTTTGCCGTGCTTTGAGCGGACACGTGTTTTTTGCATTTTTCGACAGCTCTCCGCCTTTGCCGCAACGTTTCCGTCTCCTTTTCCTGGAGTCTGTCATCTCTACCAGGTTCGGCCCTGTCATTGACGGCGACCGAGCTTTGCCGTGTGATCTCGCAAGGGCTCTTCAGACCCAGCGCGGCTTTCCGCCCGAAATCACTTCAATCTTAGCTCCACGAAGGAGAAGATAAGATGGCCTTCTAAGAAGCTCCGAAGCTTCGAAGAGAACGGGCAGATAGAGCAATGTGCAATCCCGGCGCTGGACAAGAACTGTGTTTCGAGCTCATGGAGGTCATAGAAGCTTGCGAACATTTCTCAATGCCTAGGCCCTCAGAGCAGCAAATCGAGAAGAAAGGACACTCGGCTCCGTCTCAACAAGCAGAAGAAGGTGCGGAACATGATGTGGAGCCCACACAGCCCACAGGAACGGCCCAGGGCCACCGGCCATTCGACCATGGCGTACCATGGCACACGTGACTGCACGTGACTACACGTGACTTCACGTGATTGTGTGTTCTACGAGTTTTCTAAGAGTTATTGAAGTGTCGGACGATTCTTCTGCAAAGGCGCGAGAGAACTGCAGGGTATTGGGACACGTCAGTCATCTGTCGATTGTGATGGACCCTGTCTCTATCCGTCACTCCGAAGGCAAAAGGTTCACGAAACGGTCCTTTCCAGCTGATGCACCGACAGGCTCTAGGAACATCATCTTCTCTATGGAGAAAGGCCGTTGTGTGGGTGGGTTTGAGTTGTTCAGGGCGCGGCCCTAAGCTACAAGTTCTCTTAAAAGCTTTCCGCCGACTCACAAGTCATCACACGTCGGCCGAGGCTAAAAGAGCCCTGTGTATGTGGGGCAAGATCAGAGGTGCTTGAGGGGAGGGCCCATTCAGGGTTGCAGAGACCATGCCTTCTTGAAAGCAAAGAGGAAGAATTGGCGGAATTGCCCCAATTCTTGCATGTCTGGGCTAGATGGCTTGTGTGTAGGGCATGGGCTGCGGCGCCTCCGCATTCCGGCAGCCGAAGGATTGCTTTTGCCCAAGCCGAAGCCAAGCTCCAAAGCCAAGCTCCAAAGCCAAGTGCAAAGCCTTGCCGCGGCTGTGCTGGGACCAGGACGAGCTAACGCCTCTGACCATCGTGCCTCAGGCGCAAAGCGTGTCGAGATTCGAAGACTGGGAAGACTGAGGCTGTCGGGGTATCTTGAGGGCTTGGTGTTCAGGATTCAGAAGCGGACGACGCGGACGCCGAAGTTCCGAGAGATATTCGTGACTTCTACGTGCCGCTGGGCGCATGCGGTAAGTTCCATGTTCGGATGCCTCCAGGATACTTGTAGTATGGCAGAGATGATGCTTCAGTGACACCTTCACGTTCTGTTCTTTGTCCGAGAGCCGGCTGAGGCTGGGCGAGGTGTTGGGCCACTTGGGTTCGCAGCAAGAACAAGCTGTAGAAGAGAGTTTGCTTGCCTTATCCCCGGAGTTGCCGGCTCTTGCCCGGCTGTTGGCCGTTGCTGTTGCCATTGCGTTAGGTAGCGGTGCCTTTGGACAAGTCCGCAGCGCCACCTTGATCGAGGAGCCCGCTGAGTGCAGAGCCGTCAAGGTGCTGGAGAAGGACGGGGCCAGAGCCGAGTGGTGCGAAGACAGAGTCGAAAGTCTTGCATCTTTCCATGAGTCTAGATTCTAGAATCTCTGCGTGCCACTGCGTGCTCTCTTGAAGTCTCAATGTCGCGTCAGCTTTTGCCCGCACCCGCGAAGTATTGGCGAAGTTTTGTCAGAGGATGGGACGACAAGTCGCAGCGATTTGGACCTCGAGATCGATCTTCTGGGGCAGCTGGAGCACGAGAACATTATCTGCCGGGGCTCCGAAGAAATCGCTTTCCTTTGCAAGGGTTCACCGGATTTCACCAGTCGCTTCAGAGAAGGAGCCGTTGTTGAGGCTTCTGCGAGTTCTTTGAGGACGTGCACTTTCTGCTTCTTGGAAGAAAGCCGTGCCAGAGCGTATTCGTGGCGGCATGTGGAGTGGCCGGGCACCTCGCGCGACTGGCCCGAGGTATGTGGTCACCGAGAGGTGTGCTGGTGGGGAGGTCTTCGAGAAGATCCTGGAACTCAAGAGGCGCGGGGACCGGGAGGCCGCCAGTGAGTTGCGCAAGTTCGCACATTGCACGAGCGGTCCGCTAGGTTCACGGAGGCGAACGCCGCTCTCATGGGCAAGCAGATGCTCGCGGCCATCGAGTACATTCACCAGAAGTAGCTTGATCGGCCAACAGCTACGCATGCAAACCATTCTAGAGTGGATTTCGCGCAAGAGGGGAAAACATGGCGTGTCCCAGCCAATTGTTGAGGCGGATCGCCCACCGGGACATCAAAGCCGAGAATTTCCTCCTCGCAGAGCCGACCATCCACTCGAAGGTCGAAAGAACATAGCGCTGTATTTCGAACTTACTCGTAGTAGGAAGGCAAAGCTTTCAAAGTAAGTTGCCATTGCCAGCATGGATTTCGCTTTGTTTGGTGCCTTTGATGTCGGGTTTCAGCTTCTGAGGTCAAGATGATTGACTTCGGAATGGCCTGCAGAGTCGAGGAAGGGCAGAGCCTCGACAGATGAATTTGAGGAACGCTTTCAGAGTTGCTCCTCTCGCATATCCTACAGTATCCCGACGGTATCCCAGCGAAAGATCCCCCCCAGGTTCATGACCGAGCTCTGTGGATCTCCGCACTACGTGATCCAGCTGCATCAGCGGTAAGAGAGTGTTGCTCCACGTTGCTGCTTTGGGAGCTCTCGGTGATCGCGACGGTAGAGCACAGCAGCACATCGAAAGCGCAAGGTTGCGCCGGAGCTGATTGGGAGAAGGCCCGGGCGTTCGTCATGAAGTTGACAAGAAGTGC